CATTCACTCCTGAAAACCACGCATTCGTGGCTCAGATCACCATCAACTCTCCACGTTTAACCCTGAGACGATCATGCTGGATATGGCAACCATGAAAAAGAAGGGGAAAAAAAAAAAAGGATACAAAATAAATGAAGCATTCTTATTAATGTGATCTCCTCAGGAACGGGTGGTCAATCACTCTTGGCCTATCTCTGATCCCAGACCGCCCTGATCTATCTGAGATCTCTGGCGTCTGGAGAACACCCAAGCGACGGACGTCTTCCTGTCGCTTGGGCGAGGGCAGCACAGGCTGATGGGCTGATGGATCATGCAGGAGAGGAGGACCAGCCCGGAGCCAGTAAGCACGGAATTCCTGGTACTCGTAATACCGGAATACAGCGAAATCGCAATACCAAAATTACAATACGGCTACTTATTTTACTTTTACGAATGTTACCGTACTAAAGAAGGTTATCTGGCTTAAGGTTTGGTGAAGTGCAGGTAAAGTTGGATCCGCCAAGCCCGCTAAAGCTTCGCCGGCGGAGCTTTTATATCTCACGAACTGCTTGTCGATGGTGAGGGAGCAAAGGGAGCATGATTCAATCAATAGCCTCCTCCGAAGTGATCTTCCAACGTTTATTTCTCTTTGCTCGCGGAGGATCGCCCGCTCCCAAGGATATGGACATCTTATTGCAGCCATTAAGCTTCGCTAAATGTCCAAATAGTGACGAGCCAAGAGTCAATAGATTCCGGCTGGGCGTTGCTATTTCCTTTCCGTCCTTGCTCCCTCTTCTGGTGCTTGCACTGCCTGCCTGCCTGCCTGCCTGCCCGTCTTTTCCCCCTTCCCCCTTCTCTCATGTTTTTGATAGAATATATGGGTCGCCGGGGTTATTTGCTTCTTTCGTTTCTTCTCCTTCTTCTTCTTCTTCTTTTCTTTTTTTTTTTTGCATCTTAGCTGTCGCCGCCAGTGACAGGGAGCTTTGATCGGGAAAACAAACGAGATGCTTGGGAAAAGGACGAAGCATATTCTTCGGGTTCAACGTATATAACGACTTAGACACCGTATAACGCGCAATCCACAATCAGGGAAGGCAAAGAGATGAATACGAAGTTAGGCGCTATATTAAAATAATGATAGGGGGAGATCGAGTAAGGACATGTATGTCTGGCATCTCGCAGCGCAGTGTGGAAGAGGCAGACAGAAAAGTAAACACGGCCAATTAACTGGATCCAGCTGCAGTCCAAGACCTGGATATCGACCGAATCACATCACCCAGAAGGGAGACAAAGGATTTAGACCCCTGTCAACAGCGAGCCATATCCTCCATACAAGCATTCCCAATCTTATATGGCTAAACCAGCACTCCCCACAGCGTCCGTCCAGTCAGCTTTCACGCCGAGAGCAGGTTACCATCCGATTATGCTGTAACTGTGTGTGTCTACGCGCGTGTGCGGTGTGGATAGACTTGCTAGCGACTACATGGTGATGTCACAGTACATCACCGGGGGCCGGGTTGCTGCTGCGCGTTGCAGGGGCAGGAGAGATTCATCCGGAGAGTCATCTGCCCCCTAACCATGAAGCTGCGTACATTCAACATTACATAGCGCAGAAAGAGAGGCAGGGCCACAACGCCTCCGGGAGCAAGGGGATCTTCCTACAACTTTTTTTTTTCACGCAGTCTTTGGCAGCGGTTTAAGTACTGAGTCTGGGATAAACACCGCTGCTAATGCAGCTCCAAGACGGCACAGGCGTTTGACTAAGTTAGCTATCCTATACAGCCATACATTATTAGCGCTCGAACAGGCAAACGGGACAAAATTCGGGAGCCGGACGAATGGATTGCGCCTCCGTATCGTTCGAGAAGTCAACGTCCATCGACGGAGTGCAGCGGCGCTTCACTTTCAACTCGCTCAACGCATTCTCGCACCACAAACCCTTAACCAAAAAACCACAGGTACGTACGGACTAGACGTGGAAGTACGGAAAGAGTACGCCTTGCTTGGTTCCCCGGTAGCGCCAGTGTACCTCTACCGTAGCAGAGAACTAAGAATGCCCACCCAAGTCGCAGCGTATCGTTTCATCCGCTTGGATGCCTCCTCAGCATTCCAAATAATGCTTGACTCGTGGAAAAAGCATGCAAAAAAAGCTGAGCTCGTCTCTACCTGCTTGCCCCCCGTCCTGTCGTTTTGTCTTTCCTGCCACCGCGCTCCGATATCCCTGCGCATTCTGAAACGCACCGGGCCTCCCAGATGTCTGCTGCCCCCCCCCCACATCCCGTCTTGTTCAGCCTCCACTCCTTCAGGTGCTCCTTGTTTGTTCCCCCTGGCCTCTTGGCTCCGCGAGCCCCCTGCCAGCTATGATGTCAGCCCAGCCGTGCTTGGGGAGCGCAAAGACATGTGGTGAACTGCTGGTTCACTGTGAGGTGAGGACGCCCTGATACTGCGGTCGTTCCGCTATGGGGGCAGAGGGGGATGTTTGCGCGGCTTCCCTTGGTCTCATCCTTCTCCTTTTTTTCGTTTCTTCCTCCAGGGTCGACGAAATCGCTGGTTCCCCCGAGAGTAGCCAACGTCGTTGGTTCTGCATCTTCCACGGCTGCGAAACAATGTATACGCAAGCTTCCATCTACCCCATACATAGTACGGAGCCATACTCACCAGGTTGTCGCCCCGAACCGAGTCATGGTGGAGAGAACGATCGATGATCAGTCAAGACAAGATCATCTCATATCACGACTTCGACCAACAGCAACGTTCCTGAAAGCATTCCGCCTGCCTTCCATGAACGTTACTTTTTCTCTCTAGTCCAGCTTTCTTTTTTGATTCCTTCTAGAGCCTGAGCAGTGCTGCTGGCGGGCATGAAGACACGCGCTTCTCTCAATCTGATAGTATTCGTCGCTCTCTCATGCGAAGCCAGGCGTCTGGGCCTGAAAATCACTTCGTCATCACGAAGATCAAAACAAATACGGATAAATAATGGGTAAAAATGAAGAGAAGAGCGATATATTTATGACCTTGTGGAACAAACTGGCTGTTAATACCCGTTAATCAAGTGGTTTACTTGATGCCAAAGGCGGGGGGAGTACGTGCATTAAAGGGGGCTACTCAGCCACCGATTTGCCAGCTCACTATCATCACGGAACTCCAGAAATAAATCTCAGCACGTATGGAGTGATGTCGATGTTAAAGCAGATACTACGAACCTCTACTATCCAAATGCGTTTTTCTTTTTTGATGTTATTATATCCTTCCTGCGACGGAGTAATCTCCTCTTCATCCACAAATACTTCACGCAGCCCGCTCAGAGTCCGTCACATCTTGTGAAACTGGGGCTGCACTCCAAAGGAGCATCTCAATCGGTGGTAGCACTGCAGTTTTAAGGGAAGGTGGGAAATGTACCTGCTCAGCGCGCCCAGCTCTGGCCATCTATCTGGCTAAGAGGCCGTTTGTGGTCGATTCCTGAACGATCTATAATGAACTGTAAGGGATTGGGATGCAGTGTCACTCGAAGCCGGCAATGCAAATTGTGGCTTTCCTTCGCGATTAATCCGGCTGGGAATGTTTAAACGCATACAGAGTGTGTGCACATATGTGTGCCGTCCTTTAGCCTTGAGGGTTTGTTTTTTTTTTTTTTTTTTTTTTTTTTCCCTTTTGTGCAGCAGCAGCTAACATATCCCATGGGACACTCCTACGCCTCATCCGAGTTCCTGTCTATCAGTGCGAGACTGTTCCAGGATGCCCATTCGTACCATCTTCCAACTTTTTTTTTCTTTCTTCTCTTATGTCTGCTTTGATCGAACGCATATGATACGTCTCAGAATGCCATGCCTCTCTCTCTGTATGACCTGGAGAATGTTGGTCGCGAAAAGCACCAAGTTCCTTTTGAAATATGCAGATAAACGAGATCGAAACAAAAAAGACATAAAACTACCAGACAGCAGAAAATGGTACCCAATTACGAAATGCCCTTCCCCTGTACCTTCACGCAAGTATTGCGTTGTTTTACTTGATTGGCCTGCATAAGATGGCATTGAATATGACCTCTACCTGATATGCTGCCCATGCCACAAAACCATGGATTGTACTCCGTACATACAGAGAATAGAGTACGTCCATGGTGTTTAGGTATGTGGAGTACGGGGTAGGATGCTGACTCTCTCAAGCCTCTACTTGGATTTGCCCCATCACTGCCGAATTCCTCCACTTGCCTTTTGCTTCAGCCTTTGTAGTCTCCTTTACAGTCTGGCTACCCCAAAGGGTCCGTGTTGCATGGGCCCCTTTTTGAATACATCAACTGGACGGAATCATGCTTATCCTACTAGTGGCTACGTTTCATATACACATCAGTGGCGTGTGTAGAGTGATTGCCCCCATAGCCTCGCGGGGAGCTATATCTACCCTAATTTGACGCCACTTATACCAGACAGACCAGATTATACGTCGTATAATTTATACTTAGTATGCCTAGTGCGCCCAATACCCGATGGATGAATGGTGCTGTGCAACCATCAGAAACCCCAGCCGGTCATCCTTCTCCACCGCAAAGTATGCACAGAACTGGAGAAGAAACACGTTTGGCCGCGCTTATACAAGTTGATGTCCACCGTTGAAGGATATTCGGCATCATGAAGTGGTGTAAAAAGAAAGCATCTGGAGTAAGTGCATAGTAGCAGAAAGGGTACGACAAAACACAAGGAGTTCATACCGTCTGGTGGCGGCATTGAAGTTCAATTGCCTTGAAAATCGAGTAAATACGGGACATTCAGGGAGGCATGTGAACCTACAATGGCGATATAGTTACAGCGTACAGAAGACGTGGGTGATGCAGCCATGCAAATAATCTAAAGGGGCAGGTAACGTATACTCTAGAGATTATTATCTGGAACGCACACACGGCCCAGGTACTCTATGAAGGAATATCAATGCTAGGTTGGTCAATTATCACACCATCCATAACCTACATCAGGATGAGGTTAACCGATCCTTGTGGCCAGCGTAAAAGGTGCGTTTTTTGGTCCAACTTATACGCTAGTAGAACTGTACCACGAACTTGTAGCCTGAGCTCTCCTGGCTGCTGCTGATCCAGCTCTGCGGCCAAAGACAGCACCGGAAGTTAGGCCGCTACCTCCCGGGTAATTGCCATGGAAGAGACCACCAAGCATCTCTCCCACACAGTAGAGGCCAGGGATCTGTTCATTGTTGGCCGAAGAAATGACTGTGGCCGTTTCCGGGGTCACGGCTAGTCCTCCAAACGTAAACGTAATGCCGCAGGTAACCTTCACTGCAAGATACGGTCCTTGGTCGACAGAGAGAGCCCAGTTGGACTTGGGGAGGGACAGGCCACCGGCATGCGATTGCGTGGACAGCCCATCTTTAATTGCCGGGTTCCATTTAGCGCCCGTATTCTCCTTGCGATGCCTGTAAACAGCGGCGTTATACTCACTTATCGTGTTGATAAAGGTTTCTTTATCTAGTAGTCCAACACGAGAGCATTTCTCAGCAAGTTCGGATATTGAAGGGGCAGTGATGTGCTCAACAACCTCTGGACGGTATTCCTCTTCTCGTAACCATGGAATAGCCTGCTGGTCCCAAACCTGAAATGCAATATGTCCTGGCTGCGCAAGGATAGCTCTGCCAAACTTTGCATATGTGAAATTTCTCATATCTATACCCTCATCCACAAACCTTTTTCCCTCTGCATTGATCATCAGCCCAAGGGGATAGCCTGATTTGGTAAATTGGTTTGAGATGTCTCGGTCACCTGAAGATTGGGGAGCACTGGCGTCCCATGCAACGGAATGGCACCCACTCCAGTCTCCGGCCTTTTTCGCTGACATATCGCGGATTGCTATCTCAAGGCAATCGCCAACATTGTATGGAGTACCACGGACGAAGGCTTTGTCCCATCCATCACCAAGATATTGCGCCCGCGCCTGAGGGCTTGATTCAAAGCCTCCAGCTGCTAGTATCACGGCTTGGGTTTTTATAGTCATCTCACTGCAGTTGTTCTTAACGACAGCCCCGGAAAGCGTACCAGTGGCAGGATCGGAAACTAATCTCATCAGGGGCGTTGAGTAAACCACACAAACACCCATACGGCGCGCCGCTGCTTGGTAGTCCTGGATAAGACCCTTCCCACCATCTTCGGTTTTCAGTGACATGCCTCCCCAAAATCTATAGCGACCATCAACTTTGTAGGATTGTCGGTTGAGTGATAACTGAAACCTAACACCAAGGCTCGCAAGCCACTTGATCGTGGTATTTGAATCCTGGACTAGGGCTTTGCAAAGAGCCTGGTTCGTCTGTCCATCGGTCATTCTTGACATGTCTTCTGTGAATTCTTCGGTGGTATATGGTTCCATATCTATGATACCTGCTTGCTCACTCGTGACATTGTTCACAATTGGGAGAATGTCATCCAGACCGCTGTGGACGGTTCGAAATGCACCGGCAGTGAAATAGGTATTCCCTCCAGCCCATTCCTCAGGCGCCTTTTCGATGAGAACGACATTCCTGGCACCATTTTCAGCGGCTGAGATAGCAGCTGAGAAGCCTGCGTTTCCACTACCAACCACTAGAACGTCGCATTCCTGTGGGATTGCCATACTTAAATTTCCGGGTATCAGCTAGCTCTGACTGCGGTCTTCTCCCAAATATTTTGATTTTCTTTCTTTCTCTCCTTTGAATAACCGGTAAATTCAACGGACAGAGCCAGTGGCTCTCTAGATACTACGGTTATAATGAGAAATATGGATTGATCTCGCTGTTACACGACACAGGTTGAGGAGCAAATTCCGGTCTCTCTCAAGCGGCCGAAATGCCGGCCATAACACTGACGGAGACTTGTCCTCCACATCACGGTTCCGCATCGAAACTGCTGAAACCCTTACATGGAGCTTTCACCATAGTTAGCTCGTAGTTAGTGTGTAGATCAATGTTCGCTCGGCTCTCATCTATCCGCCAGCTCAAAATCCTTTGCCATGGGCGATAGTCACGAGTCCAGCCATAATTATGGACTAGTGTGCCAGGTGACAGTCAGCCGTTCAACAGGGGACCAAGCCTTCTTATACCAGCAGCATCTGCAATATATGAAGGGTTCATCCAATATCAAACGATGTGTTGGTGAAGCTGAACGTCCTGTCGAAGCGCCGTGTCGTCCAATTTATCCTTTTGCCCCTTTCGGGCCAACCCCTGTTCGGCTTCTCAAACAGCGCGCTAGTCCCTCCTCGTCATTATCACGTGATATCTCTCCCTGGGAACCCTTTTTTTTTTTGTAACTAAAGAAAGACCTTGGAATTACAACTCCGACAGCATAAAAGGGAAAAAAAAAAAATTAAACCAGAATTTTCAAGACGAAATGATTATATGGTCAAGGCCATGATACAGTGGCAGATATTTATTATTTGAGAGAATTCTCCCTTTCGGCAAAAAAGCGATTTGCGCCAATATCAATCTGGCCTTTAAGCCGCCATGGTACGCTGCCTCAAAAGACGATAATCAGCTTAAATCCGCCTAAATTACGATAGAACCTGGATTTTGAAGCTCCGTACTCCCGCCTCAATCTTGCAGAAATGACCAAATCTCATGATCATGGCCCGCCAAAGATATTGGCTCGAGCATGTCAGTTTTGCAGGGCACGGAAGATTAAATGTGATACCCAACGGCCAAGCTGTAGCTCGTGCATCAACCAGAAGAGAGAATGCGTATATATATTAGAGGTTCCAAAAAGACGGTGCGTAGTTTCGAGATATACTGCAGACAGGCAATGCCAATTCTGTTGTTTGTCTAGGAGTTATGTCACTCACTGACGGAGAATAGGCCATCTACAGCTATTGTCAACGCTCTCCAAAATGAGAAAAGACAGTTTGAAGAGATGATATTACGCCTAAAAAAGGCCTCTCCGGAGGAGCGAGATACTTTACTAGAGTCTATACCAGTTGAAGATGGCTCTGTGAAGCTCAAACGCAGCTCACCGCCACCGTTTACGCCTTCACCTTTAGGGCCAAAGAAATCCAATAGGGAAACGAAATCTCACCATTCTGATGACGATGGTATATCTTCAGATGAGGATCTGGATGTTCTCCCTTTTCTCTCTGTCGATGAAGGGGGCAGGGTGGATACATTCGGTCCCTCGTCCGCTCTGCAAGGACCGACGAAGCCAGTAATTTCGAAGGAGTCGCCTGTCACTGAACATGTTCGGAACCAACTCATAGCAAATGCAATACTACAACGTCAACGAGAGCACGACATTAGGTGCTGGCAGGAGATATACGGCGTTCCAGTGGAGCTCGCTATTCATCTACTCGACCTCCATTGGAACCGACAGCATCACAGTTTCCTATTAACATATAGACCCGCAGTCATGAGAGATCTGATACAGAATGGGCCGTATTGTTCAGAATTTTTAATGAATGCCATCTTTGCATGTTCCTGCAAATACTCACAAAGGATAGAGGTCCGCGACAATCCGGTAGACCCTGAAACGGCAGGTGGTCGGTTTTTTGCTCGTTGTGATCAAATCCTCGCCGACCAATCACTTTTGAATTCTTCAAGCATTGCGACTCTGGTTGGACTACTTCTTCTTGGATCAACGTACAATGCTTTAGGCCAAACATCTAAAGGTTGGCTCTACACTGGATATGCCCTTCGAATGGTCTATGATCTTGGCCTTCATCTTGATTATAAAGCCACGACTGCAAACGCGGAGGATATTGAGATACGACGCCGCGTATTTTGGGGTGCATTTATTTGTGATAAACTACAAAGTTTGTATCTGGGACGACCGATGGCCATTCACATAAGGGATACACATGTGTCACGCAACTTTATGGACACCATGGAAGAGAAGGAATTATGGACACCTTATGTTGACCCTAGGCTGCCATCTGACTCGTTACCGGCTATGCCTGGCACTCCTACTCCAATCCATTCCGTTACAACTTTCCAGCAGTTATGCCTCTTGTCCAAGATCATGACCAAAATCATCAATCGGTTCTACGTAGTGGGAGCTACTGCTGCTAATGCAAGAGCTAGTCTACAATCTATCGATGACGCATTGATATCTTGGAAGGATAACCTCCCGTCTGACCTTAATTTCGAGCCTTGGTCTGACAACCCATTGACTGCCCAAGCTCGTCCAGCCCCTAATGTCATGATTCTCAATGCTTTATATCACTCTTTGGTGATTCTGCTTCATCGGCCGTTTATAGCTGATGGTCATCTCCGTTCTGCTGTTGCACCGGCCAGCTCTTGGAAACGCTGCACTTCTGCCGCCAAAAACATAACTAGCATAGTATTGGCATATAAGTCGGCATATACTCTTCGAGGAGCTGCTTATTTGTTGAGTTATGCAGTTTATGTTGCTTGTACCATTCATGTTCGTAATGCTGCAGCAACTGATGGCAGCCAGCCAAGTGAAAATTCTTCCATTCTCTCTGCAAGCCTTCATAGCCTCGATGAACTTTCGCTACCGAATTCCGGAGTGTCTAAAACTGCGAGTATCATCCGAAAAATCATGGCTGACAATGGCCTAAAACTGGTGTCCGGTACTTCTATCAATTTGAAATCCTACAGTATCTGGCGGGATGTGTGCTAACAATCAAATAGAGCCAGTTATTGATATACATTCTCCATCGTCCTTGGATCTCGACGCCATTTTGCGGATGTTCCCATCCAAATCTCCCACCCAAGGCCAACAACCAAACCAGCCCGAAAATTTTGATCAAAACTATGGAATGAACCCATATGGACCAGAAGATCTACTTTATGGGTTTATGGATGGAGAAACAGCAGCTTTCTCGGACTTCACTAATAATGGAGCTTTTAGGATATAAAGAGGCATTTCAATTGTGTTCTTTAAAACCCCTGACTATACTGCTGTGGCTCCTCGGAGATTGAATTTTTGCCTCCGTAAATGTCGAAGTATATTCATAACCCGCGTGCAGGGTCGTCGTTTCATATCATCTGGAACGAATCGGGTCCTAATACCGCTCCTACTGCTCATGAAGCAGTCCTGCTGCTGCAGGCGACGGTAGGGATGGCATATATTGCTGGGAAGTTAAAAGAATATACTGAGTATGATGGTGTATGTCAACGAATTCTCCTTTGTGGTTACAATTCCCATATTTATAGCTAACCGCGTCTTCTACAGGACCTGTGCAGCGAACAGAGTGACGATATAGAATTATATGTTTCTTGATAAACTTAGGTCTAAATGAGTTTGGCTGGTGCGTTAGTTAAGTGTTTCCCTACGATTTAGCGGGCATTCTTACCACGATTTAGTGGGCTATCACTTAGAGTAATGTTATGGCTTGGATGATATTTGTTTACAACTGGCCCTTGGCATGATAGATTAGAGCATCTAATAATACAACCTAGAATGAAAACTCGGCATTCATTCCAAAGAGTCTGCCTTGATATCGGTTCATGACTTCTCCCAACTTCACCATAATTCCAGCAGCCAGCATCCTGACTTGATCATCTCCCTTTGGGGTCCGTTCAAATATTCCTCCAACCCATTCTCGCATCTCCATTACTTGCTCAGCGAATTCATTGACAAGTCGTTCTTCTCCGGAGCTTCCGGATGCAATATTAATATCCAGTATGGCAAGAAAAAGTGAGAGTATTGCGGAAAGGACAGTTGGTTCTGTAGCGGCCGCGGAGTTATGGAGGGACATCAGTAATGTTAGAACGTCGGAAGTTATCGTCAGTTGGTTGACCGAACTCGGTCCAATTGTTGATATAATAAGGTTAGTAGTTTGTATGAACAAAGAAAGAAGGTGAGGGGAGAAAAAAGGATTGTTCCCGTTATATGATCTGAATTGGTGAATTTTAACACTTAGTAACCTGGACACGGGATATCAAAGAAGCACTTGGGTCGATGTATACTCACGACGTTGAATACATCATTAAGCTAAATCCACTGGTTAACGGGCGGAAAAATGCTTCAAATAGTATTCTATGTAGGTCCTTTGGTATCGACTTTGCTCTCCTTAGTTGCTCTTGTTCACGTTTCTTCTTTTCCACTTCCATTCTTGAAGAAAATGTGCGAACTTTTAAGGCATTAGGACCGCTCAGTGTGTCTACAGCATTAAGAGCTAAAGGCTCCAGAGAGTTTCGAGCAATATTCCTCGATATAACTTCGGTTGGAGTATGTTTAGAGGCTGGGTCATATTGGATCTCTAATCGGGGTGGAAGCCGTTGGGACGGGAAAGATGCATCGGCAGAAACTTGGGGAAGTCCCATGGCCTTGCTATCCTCCTCTCTATACCCCGCAAGTTCTCTCGCTCCTAGGCCTAAGGCAACTAGTAGCGAGGATCTTTGAGATTGAGACAGATCAATATGGAAAAACGCATTCGCTATCCATGGACCTAGGACCAGTGGGCGTGCCACAACAAGTGTCGTCAAGCTTTGCAGGCGATATTCTTGGAATTTTGGAACATCATATTTGTCATGTAGACTAGTAAGGGTAAGAGCGAGGTCTCTAATGTGTTCATCTAGTTCTGAGCCAAAGCCAGACTTTCGTCGTATGAGGCTGGGTGCGGTCGATATTCCTAGAATGTAACGGTCATAATTGTCAACATCACGAAGATAGGTTAAAAGATCCCTGATATATCTGTTGCAGACGAAAAATTATTAGCAATGGTAATAGTGAAGGAAAAATAGAAAGGATTGGAGAATCGTACACAGGAGGGATGGGCTTGGATCGCTGGATAAGGGTTGGGTCCTCATCAGAATCGGAGGCGTCTGCATCTGGTTTCTGATACGGGATAAGACCATCGTCATTAGATTCGTCAGAATCCTCTAGAGGCAATATTTTGGAAGCAGTAGGCTTCGCACTTGATTCCTGCATTTTCTCGTGTTTGAATTTTAGAGCTTTCTTTTTAACCGTTTCCGTCGAGGACAATGTATGAGGTGGTTCTAGGTCAGTTATGGTTCTAACCTGATCTTGGGTATCTGACAATCTCAAAAACCATGATGCCTCATCACTTTCCATTTCGGCCAAGTCAAATTTCATGCGGCTTTCTGGCTTGTCGGTCAGTTTGGATAAAGACGTGCCAACAATCATCCCTAAGAAACGAGACCGAGTTGATGCTGCTCCTAGGCGATTCGAAATAGCAGAGAGATAGGAGCTGGCCTGAACGAGGCTGGATAAATTAGTGGTTTCAAGCCTGTGCAAGTAACCGGCTGTGAGGAGAATGACTTGTGCATTCGCTAGATAAACCCAGATCAATCGAATTAGACAGCTTCAACATGTCACAAACTTGTTGAGAAAAGATTACCTTCTTGCGCTGTTATAGGCGAGTGCTTTATGGAGAGTTTATCTCCGAAAATATCAATTGACTTTGTAAATATTTGTGAAAGCGATTCTAACTCTAGTTAGCGAGAGTATGTAGACTTTTAAATAGTGGACATCTTACCTGGGTCAGAAGCAAACGTCGCCAGAAGCGAGCGGCGCATATAAACACTGTTTATACTCCCTCCTATTCCTGATATAAGCCAGGTTTTCAAGGTCTCTTTCATAATAACAACATCCCTCGTTATCAGTGATAGTATTATTGAGACATTGGATATAGATGCATCTGCAATTTTGTCTTCATTCTCTAACAAGTTTACCAAATACGCCCTTTCCAGGCACCGTAGAATTGATTCTAAAATCCTTTTTTGGTCATGCTGCCGCAAGAATTTCAGCAAGTTAATGAAATTTTCTGTGCCTGGCCTGTCCTTCCGGAATAACAGGGTATGCAAAATCTCATTGACCACTTGGTCTACAATTTAAATGGTCGAATTAGTTATAGAACACCGCATTTTGAGGGGAAAGATCTCTACCTGTCTGGCCAATGCTTAGTGTTCGACTAATGAATGCTCCCAGATACTTCCAAGCTTGATCATCGTCAATTGAAAATTGAGACGCCATACTACTGATATTTTTCCCTAGCCACGCAGCATAGAGTTTCCCATCTGAAATCCATGAGTGAGGGGAGGTCCCTACAGATAACTCTGTATATCTGAGTGACTCAGCAGAAATTGATAGAACTTTCCCGGATGCAAGGAGAGAAATAGTTTCTTGCCAGAGAAGCTGCTTTCGGACTTCATGGTCGATAAACCGCCTTATATCAGTAAGTAGATGAAGAATTAAGTCGCTGGGAGATAGTAGGCGCGAGAGCAAAGATAGGGTATCTTGTATCAGTATACCCTTGTCAGAGCTGGCACTTTTCCCTTGTGGAGGTGTTTGGCTAGGCAAAAGACTTCGGAGATAAGCAAGAAGGGTTCCAATCCCGGAAGGGCTCTTCACACATCTCAACAACATAGCCTGTGGCGTCTGGCTGGACGGAAGGTGGTATGAGGGTTTCGGGTCATGTTCCATCCCTAGGCTAGCCCAATGGTCACAAATGGTCGTTGTGATTAAAGCATGGAGTATTTGAGCTGCGAGAGAGCTTGGAATGATGATATTAAAATTCCCATTCTCTAGGCTGGCCGGGTCAAGGAATTTCAGTGCCTCTAATAGAGTTGATGTAGGTATCTTGGATTTTAAAATTTTCAATACATCCTCTGGTGATGATAAGTGAGCTTCAGATTGTTCATCTTCGATGACTGAGATCCTCTGAGCACCCGGGGTTTCTGGAACGGGAGAATGTGGTATTAAAGGCTCTTCAGAGCTGTCTGATGACTTGGCAACTTTAAGAAGCGCTTCCATGACTCTGGGTCCAGGAAAGCTCCAGTGGACTTCTGGATTCGTGTAGTAGGCTGATGAAGCTGATATCAAGATCGCCCGTCGCGACCAATTAAAAAAACTTTGATTACTTAATCAATATTATCGATAATATTGTCACGTGATGTGATTTGGTCAGCGGGGTGTCTTTGCTTTTGATGGGAGGAAACGTCAAGGTGAATCTACAACTCCTTAAGTTGTATGAACCACTGTGTGGTTGAGCCAAAGTTGCACTTGAATCGAGATATAAGGGTAGATCTTGCCCTTATACCATAGTGTTTTTAGAAGATAACCTTACATAACTGGACACTTGGTAGCCTGTTGCCTCGTGAAGCTTTACGCAGGTTTACAACCACATATTCTGAGCAGAGATACCTATCCAAGAGGGTCAACAAGTCGTTATAAGATGGGCAGCTCGACGACTGATGGGCAAATTTCAGATCGATGGTTTGTCATCATAATAGCCTTGAAAAAATAGATACTTTCGTTAGCTGAGCTCTAACATGGTGACAGGAGATTTCTGCATCGAGTCCTGACTCGATCAGGCCCTTATAGTGACCCAGACTGGGTTCCTGGACCGGAAACTATTGCCAGCTTAGAATCATCGAAGATATTGTAAGCTCTGAAGCCTATATATCATACAGATAAGAAGAGTATTAACGGTTTTCTAGGGTAATGTGAGCAAAAAACAATTTATAGCCCTGTTCCTTGTAGACAGCTATTAACCCCTTAAAGAGGTGCTGGGGGCTTAGGGTGTGAGATATTGAAAAACCTTGCATTGTCTGGCTTCAAGGACATCCACGTGATAGATATGGGTAAGCTTTCTTTGCCTATATTGGTGCACTGTGTCTACTTATCTTACATCCTATAGATACCATTGATATCTCGAACTTGAATCGCCAATTCTTGTTTCGTCAGACTGATGTCGGTAAACCTAAGGCTGAGGTTGCTGCAGCGTTTGTCGAGAAGCGTGTGAAAGGTGTCAGGATCACTCCATTTGTGGGGAAGATCCAAGACAAAGATGAGGAATACTACATGCAGTTCAAAATCATTGTTTGCGGCCTGGACAGCATTGAAGCTCGTCGGTGGATCAATTCTCTGGTTGTGGGGATGGTTGACCCGGAAAATCCAGAGAGCTTGAAACCTCTCATAGACGGTGGCACAGAGGGTACGGCGCATCCACGCAATATCCTCCCAACCTCAAACTGACACTTTTTTGTATAGGGTTCAAGGGGCAAGCTAGGGTCATCCTGCCCACACTAACTTCATGCATTGAATGCCAGCTTGATATGCATGCCCCTCGTGCTGCAGTTCCGTTATGTACAATTGCAACTATCCCTCGACAGCCTCAACACTGCATCGAATGGGCCCATCAAATTGCGTGGGGTGAGCAAAGGAAAGGTGAAGAATTTGATGGTGATGACTTGGAACACGTAACGTGGATCTACCAGACTGCTCTCGAGCGAGCAAAACAATTCTCCATTCCTGGGGTTACCTTTTCCATGTCCCAAGGAGTGGTAAAGAGTATCATTCCAGCGATCGCTTCAACAAATGCGGTCATTGCAGCGGCCTGCACTTCTGAGGCTCTTAAAATAGCAACGTCTTGCAACCCCTATTTGGAAAATTATATGATGTATGCTGGAGAGGAAGGGGTTTACACTTACACATTTGCAGTAGAGCAGAAAGAAGATTGTCCAGTTTGCGGAAATCTTGCGAAAACTATAGAAGTGAACCCGGAATCGACATTGGAGCAGTTCATTGAGTCTCTTGGGGAGAGGGCTGAGGCACAGTTGAAATCCCCAAGTCTGAGGACAGAACAAACAACGCTGTACCAACGATTCCCACCCCAGTTAGAGGAACAGACGAGGCACAATCTACAGAAAAAGTTGAAAGACTTATTAGAGTCCGGCGAAGAAGTGGCAGTCAGTGATCCCGCTTTCACGATTGACTTCCGATTTAAATTGGTTTTCCGATAAATACGGATCAACTTATTCATGGAAAAATCACCATTATTAGATAAAAGAGCATTTATTCTTCAAGATATTGATATTTCCAGTGGTGCATCAACTACACTATGATAGCTAGATCGTAGATGTTCGTAAGAAAAAAACAACGCCGCCCAGGAGAAACGCCCCAAAAAGATGATGTATGGTACGCCCAGATATCCATCTAAACTTTTTTGACGCCAAAAGGTATGCATATACATTGGAGAGAAGATCTGCGGATGCGACTGAATTTAGGCATGTGAGTCCGTGTTATCGGCCAAGGTAGCAACATTCCGCTTCAGTCTCTGGCATTTGAGCTTTAGTACCTTGATGCTTTCCAGGAACATAAGGTCGCTGTTGAACTGTCCAGTACTTTCGATATTGAAGATAAAGTGATCGCGTACCCGGCCAAGCTTGACTTTATCCTTAAACTCGTCGTGGCGCAAACATTCTCTGCTAACAGTGTCTTTGAATGGGTCCACAACAACAGCCTTTTTCTCTCCTTCCTTCCCTTCGTAACCGCTACCAACTTGTGCAGCTTCTGCAGCAGTGACATTTTCAATTCCAATAACACCTCTTGGGAAACAGCTTGCAAACTTGATTGCATCGTTGCCTAAGATAGGACGTAGGATCTTTATGTCGGGAAGAAGTCGATATGAGGCTGTAGCCACTGGTGAGAATTTTGCGTGATCTGCTCCTATTCCCTTGATGCAGTGCATTTCGATATCGATTTTTTGACCGGGCCTTAGTTTAGCTAAGAGAGTGTCTGGGTTGCATGGTTGGATAACACCATCCCCATGGAAGTATTTCTCCTGTCGTCCCTGGGGTTCAAAGACGAGATCTTTCGCATAAATATGCGCATTATTGTAAAGTACAGTGGGATCCTCCTCGTCTGGGGCAGAATTACGGTTCTTCGTGCATTCTTTTACCAACCGTAAGACGATGGTATTTGAATCTTCGTGAGTGCTACCGCTGTCTGGATCTCCTTCCTTTGGTATTTTGAACCACCGTAGCCAGTTTAACCCTTCCAGAGAGCCTTTCAATGGGATTAATCCGAGACGATGGGCTAGAACTTCGTCTTGTATAACTGACGTGTTATTCTGGATATAGACATATTCAATGGCGAGCGCAGGGATTTCGGCAAGAAGAATACGGCGAAAAGCGTTCGCAATAGCGGCATCAACCCCGATTAACGAAAACGAAGCTTCAAGGGGATCGTTTTTGTGGAATTCTATTTTCAAGCCCTTCAATTTCCAAGGTGGTAAATATGGCGCTACATTTGAATATAAGAGCTGCTGCAGCTCACCTCACTGAACTTGTCAATTGACCAGGCATGGTTCTCACCCGGCCAATGGCTTGGAAAATCAGTCGCCGAAGGGTTTGTTACTGTCTCCGGGTTGATGCCAATTATCTACAAGAGATATCAGTCAAACTTCTCGTCCCACCCTGTATCATGGACGTTCAAACATACCTTCCGCCGCTGCACCTCCTCTGGGACCGCGATTCGAGGCGCCATCTCGGTAGAATGTATAGGGTATATACGTCGTTCGCCTGCCAGATAGTCGAGAGCTGGCTCCGGTGCAACTGTGGGATATCAAAACGGAAGAGAAAGCCCTGATAAGAGAGAGAATATTTTCTGCGCCGCGACTTGAAAACTAACTTAGTTAACCAGTTAAAAGCTCGAAAAAAGAAACTTTGCACTGTTTGCTGCGAAGAAAGCTCCCAGCCAATCAGAGGCCCCACATTTTCGATTTCACTTGTCACGTGATGGCTTCAACCGCATCTCTCACAACTTTTGGCCAGAAACGAACGACGCAGAGCGACGAAGCCTTGATCAATTGAACAAGCAAAACACCCTCTTTGCCCGCAGCAGGATCTGTCCAGGTCGTATTGGGGGACTGCTACTTGAGCCTCCCCGTCCGTTGGCCATGGCTTCCTCCATCACATTTCTCGCACGCCATGTGCCAAAGCGGCTCTGTCTGAGTCCCTCGTCTCGGTCGATTTCCGCCAAAACATCCAGGACGACTACCTTCTCGCGATCGATATCTGCCTCTGCGCCGTGCCGCTATGCTGAGGCATACCAGGCTACCAGGTTGATTCCCACAGACCCGGCATTCAAGCCGGATACCTCCAAGACTGATGCAACTCCATCCGGGCTCGAGTCCGAGACCACCTATGGCCGAAAAATCCGCCATTACACCGTCAATTTTGGTCCCCAGCATCCCGCCGCCCACGGTGTGCTTCGGCTGATTCTGGAGCTCAATGGAGAGGAGATTGTTCGCGCTGATCCACACGTCGGTCTTTTGCATCGAGGTACGGAGAAGTTGATCGAATATAAGACCTACATGCAAGCTCTACCTTATTTCGATCGATTAGACTATGTCTCTATGATGACGAACGAACAGTGTTTTTCGTTGGCGGTGGAAAAATTGCTGAACATTGAAATTCCCGAGAGAGCCAAGTGGATTCGAACAATGTTTGGTGAAATTACCAGAATTCTCAACCATCTCATGTCGGTCCTTTCTCACGCTATGGACGTTGGTGCCCTGACGCCATTCTTGTGGGGATTCGAGGAGCGAGAGAAGCTGATGGTACGCCTATAGCCATTGAGTCCCTTGATAAAAATCGACTATACTAACGTATAGCATTAGGAATTCTATGAGCGAGTATCTGGTGCACGTCTCCACGCAGCCTATGTTCGCCCAGGAGGAGTTCACCAGGATATCCCCCTTGGTCTTCTGGACGACATCTACCAGTGGGCCACTCAGTTCGCTGACCGCATTGATGAGACCGAGGAACTTCTCACCGATAACAGAATCTGGAAGGCTAGAACTGTCGGTGTTGGTGTAGTAACTGCCGCTGAAGCTCTCAACTATGGCTTCTCCGGTGTTATGCTGCGAGGCTCTGGAGTTCCATGGGACATTCGCAAGTCTCAACCCTACGACGCCTATGGGCAGGTTGAATTCGACGTTCCAGTCGGCGTCAACGGTGACTGCTATGACAGATACCTCTGCCGAATGGAAGAATTCCGTCAATCCCTTCGCATCATCCACCAGTGCCTAAATAACATGCCCGCTGGACCCGTGCGTGTCGAGGACTACAAGATCAGCCCTCCCCCACGCATAGCCATGAAGGAGAACATGGAGGCTCTGATTCACCACTTCCTGCTATTCACCAAGGGATACACTGTACCACCAGGTGAAACCTACTCTGCCATCGAGGCTCCAAAGGGTGAAATGGCCGTTTTCCTGGTCAGTGATGGCAGTGAAAGACCTTATCGATGCAAGATCCGTGCCCCAGGTTTCGCGCATCTAGGTTGCTTTGACCAGCTTTCCCGAGGTCATCTTCTGGCTGATGCTGTTGCTATCATCGGTACGCATGTCTCTTCTAAATGTGACAATGAAATACAGACTAACGTTTGCTTCTTTGCAGGTACTATGGATCTCGTATTCGGTGAGGTCGATAGGTGACATTGTATCATGAGCATATAATATACTTCTTCCCATTCTTTTCCGTTTCCCTTCGTTTCCTTTATTTCCGATTTTCTCTTGTGACTGTTTTGTTTTCTACTGCTCGAAGTAAGCTTTTTCGTTTTTATCTTAGAAGTGTAACGTAAAAGAATGGGCGAGGTTTCATTCTTCTCGTCTCAACCCCCTGGTGGATTGATCTAAGCTTGGGGCCCAGTCCTGGTTTCTAGTTATCTACTACTGTATATGCATTATCTGTCTCAATGACTTTTACCTCTTACCTTCTTTGTATATTTTTCCCCCGGGTAAATATCTTTATATAATACTATGTGGCCCGCAGATAGGTTTTTGGTTGATATTATTGGTAATTGATAAAGGCTTGCATTTGTTACTATATCAAATGATGCTTTCAAAAAAGTAGAAAAGGATAACAAGAAGGAGAAACATAATCCTAGAGTATCCCATATAACGATCGTGTTTGGTCCAGAACACCGTGCCTGAAGAGAAGAAATAATAGTAGTAGTCCATAGAAACCAAGCCCAAACCATCAGAACGCCATCTAGTTAATGATAATGGCGACGTTTGGGGACCAGAGCAAGAATGCCATTCACCTTGTTCAAGTGAAAGAAATAACAATATTAACAATAACCAAACATTAGAGCCACTTTTATAGACTTCTTCTCTCCGCACTTCTGATTGTATTCTTTATTGTTTGCTCCTGGTCAGACGGTGTGGTCGTCGTAAATGAACCTGATATCTCGTGGGCGTCGAGTGTCTCGCCTGACAAACTCTTCGTCGCCGGGAGGTCTTTCGTTCTTGGTGTTACCCGTCAGCATGCTTTGGATGCTCATACAGACGCTCTCGACGGACTGGATAGGCGACCATCCCGCAGAACCGAGAAGATCCAGGCATATGATCCCGTTGCTGTATATATGAGGATGCATCGGTATCGGGCGTGGTGTCTCTGATGTCGCTGGTAGGGAGATGAATTGAACTTCTGGAGCTTCTGCCATGCCAAAGAAAAGCATCGTTAGCCCGGGTGTTTACAATAAGCCTCAAGAGACAGGCCGACAATACCTATAGGGTAGTTTTTGCTGAATGTGAATCTAAGCCGGTAGGTCTCATCCTTGTAGATGGGATTGTCGTCCAGGACCCGGATGTCCATCTCCCACTGCTCTAGGTTGTCTGCCTTTGCGACAGTGACTCCGGGAGGCAGGGAGTTCTGCATCTATGAGGGGGCGTATCCAGGTTAGCCATTTAAAGTCCACCTGGAGCTGCTGATGTAGGACAGGTCCTAGAAGAAGGGAGGAAGCGGTAGCAGTCGTAGCAGTCGTACCTTGATAAGCTCCTGTATAACCACGTTAGCTCGCTGAGATGCTATAACGGACGATCGTATCTCTCGACATAGCAGAGGGACATGGAAATACCTTGCTCAGCCTCTTGCTGGCGAACATCTTGTGCCGGATATGCTGGTGTTATCGACCTGAGCTGCCGTTGCGGGGTAGAATGCTGGAAGAACGCAGACGTGGTTAACTAGTTATCGCTTTGCAAGAACACAAGAGAGGAAGCAGAAGCAGAAGACGACGGCGAGAACGAGGAGCAGGATTTATACAGTAGGGTATCTCATGCCGCGGCGTTTCCTGTGGTTGTTAGTGGTCGGCGGACAGCAGGAAGGATATCCAGTTCCAGGCCCTCTCTAGCTAGTTAACCTAACTTTGGCTACTTGGCTACCAAGTCCCGGAGGCAAAGGAGAGTCGCGCGTTCACTGGGGGCGACAGTGACTGCTTGTAGAGCTACCCGGGCAGTTAATATATATATATATGTCACTGGCCCGGATGTCTGGAGAGGCCCTTTATTTATATCGTCTACTGCTTGACCCTGAGCAAACGAGCGGCTTGCGTCGTCTTCTTCGACTTCACTTAACTAGTTTCCTAACTAGTGATAATGCTAGTCACTCTTAGTTCTCGGAGCAGTGCAAACGCTATTCCGTTGTTATTTATAACGATCAGTTCCGCGGGAGCTTTCCTTGTAGTTATATTTGAGGAGACACAGGCGTTTTTCGTCTAGGGCCTCAGCTGTGTTGACTGAGAGCCAAGTATCATGCTCTATCAGAAAGACAAGTTCCTACGAGTATCGGCAATTGAAATGCTACTTGCCAGGCAATCATAGCTACCTTTTGGGGTTGAAGTAATTGTGCTCATTAAGATGTGTTTGCTAGCTGCTAAATAGGAGAGTGAGCTTAAGATATTGCCATTCCGGAGGCCGCAGATACGGCCAGGTTTGAAATGAGCAAGACGCTCAGAGCTCTGCAATACAACTGGGAGCTGGCGGGTGCTGAGCACACTCTTCATAGTTCATCGATGTAAGTCGTGGATAGTCCATAATCGACACGCTAGAAACTACCTTCGGCAGCTTAACCACTGGTTGGCCTCGTTCCATACTTTGATATCAACTACTGGCTCCTTATTAGCCGCCTGTACCGCTTTATACACCTGTGCATTATATCAATTAGCCAAGAGTGTTCCCATAGTCAAGGAGCTGGTCTAGCGCTTACCGCATCCCATAGATGGAATGACATATCTAGGTTCTCAGAGAAGCTGTGGCTGTGCTGGAACCATTCTTTGCCCTTGTCCTTGACTTCCTCTCTGATGGCTTCAGTGGTAGGCTCTGGTTCCTGCGGTAAGTCATCTAGGTAGGTGCGGACAGCAATTGCAAGGCCGCAATCATTGTCGTCGATAAAAGGAAGGCTATGTAGATGTTAGGGAGGGAAAAAAAAATGAATTGTCAAGGGAAACCTCGGCGCACCTTAGACTTAAATCGGTCCAGTCATCACGGTCCCTATTAGCATCCCCGCTGAGCAGCAGCGATGCGAGAACAACTTCTATCAAGTCGCGAAGAGCTGAGCGCACGGTGCTGACAAGGGAGCGGAATGATAGCAGTTGCCTGCTGAGTGGTCCAGAATACCCGATGGGCTTGTGCTGGATCTTCCCGAAACATGCAACTCGCGAGATCAAGAGATTATTCCTCTGTTCTTCATCTGCTGGGAATGTTAGACCCTAAATATGAAATCTTGATATGTTGACCGCAAACTCACCAGTTCCTCTCATTGGGCCGCCTGATGTGTTGGGGAACCAGTCCTTCGAGCTCAGGATCCCCAAACGAACAAGCTCAACGGCTAGGAATGTTGGTTCCTCTAGGTTATCTGACGGCTTGAGGGAAGACAGTGCAGACTCAAGAGCTTTTCCCCAAATTGTGAGCTGGTGTTTAGAGTCGACATAGCCTCTTAGTTGAAGGAACCTCCATGTAACATTGGAGACTATCTCTTGTTTGGTTGTGAGGGGCTATAACAGTTAGTTGATTACAACCACACGATGGATCTGGAATACTCACTGCGGCATCCTTGGGAGAGAAGGACTTCGACACAAAGTCTTGGTCCTTTAGTGCCGACAGGCAAGAAGTGAGGAGTGGAGAATTTTCCTATTACTTGTTAGAATCCCTTGAACCGTGTATACACATATAAATCTATAAATACCTGGAGTTTTTGTACACTCTCCGGCAGCTGCTTATTTCCCAGACGCCAGCTGATTATTGTGTCTTTGACTGAGGGAAGATCCTTGAGATGGATTGATTTATCTGTTTTGTCGTCGTACCAGGCTCGGACGTTAATGACCTTTGTCTGATAAAAGCGGTGGAGAGAGTTGGACAAAAGGCAAAGCGCTTGTGTCCTGATTGGAGGGAGGTTTTCAGTGAGAAGGCGGCGATAGACAGGTGTGTCCTCAGTGCCGAGAGGAAGGGTAAGCAAAAGCTCGCCAGATGTGAGCCAATTGGGGATCCGCGAGCCTAGTATGCCCTTTGAGATGTAAAAGTAAAGCTCCTCGGGAAGGCGTTGGCCAATAAGCTCGTGTAGGTCGGAAGAGGCATTCTCTGGGTCAAGTGGGCCGACTTTCCCATCTGCATCCATAATGACATGATGCTTAACGGTCATGAAAGCACGCTTGAAGCGATCCATATAGTCAAGGTCGTGGACTCTCTGGTCCTCTTCAAACTGAGCGCAAAGTGCGAGCGCGTTTCTTCCGGCAGAGTTGAACATGCCAACCGCATCTCTGATATTAACCCGCTTTCCGCCACCGTAGCCCGGTGTTTCAAAGGGTGGAAATGTGGGAAGGAAAGGGGACCCGAGGAGAAGACACAGGTCGGCAAACTGCTGGTTTGAAAGACGGCCCAGCTCTTCCTGACATAGAGATTTTGTCACCCAGTTAAAGTGGCGCAGGTCAGTGTCCATCTTGGTAATAATCTTTTCAACCTCGAAAAGGAAGAGCTCTGCAGGGCCGAACACAGCGTCAATAAATCGGTGAGGCTCCTTTTCAAGGTAGGCCAACTGGAAACAATAGTTAGCCTGGGAATTAGACCTATGCATTCATTGCAACTTCACACACACCTGAGCCGAGGCCGCATAAGGTGCGACTATAAAGTTAATTCCTTCTCCTTGAAGAATTCGCTGTAGAAATTTATAAAGGCTTTCGGGATGTGCACTCCCTATTCCGATTGTACGTTTAGCAACCATCCTGAGAGGTGCGGGGTGTGGGAAGGGTTCGGGGGGGGGGGGATCAATTACCGGCACCGCTAAAAGCATCAACAACTTGATCAGCCTGTTGTTGGTCGTAATACTCCCAGGCCTGGTTCAATGCCTTGGTATTCTCTGCTTGCGCCGAAAAGTCTGGATATGGCTTGCCTGCATCAAGGCCATCAAAGACAAAAACGGGCGTGACGTCCGCTGCTTTCAGCGCCTGAAGTTCGCGGGTGATGTTGGCCTGGAGCGCAAAAGGAAAGCCTCCAAGGGCAATTAGAAGCGGCTCTTTCGTCACATAGTGATTTAAATGGAGGTCGAGGTAGTGTGTGGCATGAATGCCTATCGCAGAGCCCTTGAGCACAGCTAGATCGAATGTTTGGGTGCGGGTGTTGGCCCATTCATCAAGCGGACGAGCTGCAAGTACCATGTTAGTTGAACAGTCTTTTGCCTATCCGGTAAATGAGAAATGGACTATGAAGGATAATTTTCCGGCTACTTACTCGACATTGCTGCAGGCATGGTTGGACCCGGGGTAAATTATATATTCTTGGGGGACAGCTCTAGCTGTCTGGTTGCTGAAGCTTCAACCAACACGCGATAAGGCGTCCTGGGGGTTTGCTTTGCGGGTGAAGGCAAGGAACAGGAAAACAAGGCGGCGACGAGCTAGATAACAGTCTTATAATGAAAAAAAGGAGGGCGCAAGGGAGGAGAAGATGGCGGTTTGCTCCAAATCTCCATCAACTTTTCGATCAAAAGCTCGAACTTGCGGTTTCCACGACGTCAGGATGATGACTAATCAGGGATGCACATGCAGAATTATGGTCACGGGATATGGGGCTTATCTAAGCCTCTATCTTATCTCGATAAGGAAGTTCGCGACTTCAGCTTCATCTTTCGTAGCAAAAGCATGCAACGAGACGCTTGATTTCGCTGTTTATCTTGGGATATACGGCCATGTAAGTTGTGGTTTTGAAGATATATATACACTGCATTTGTCCGGTATGGCGTCCGAGGCGGAGATCCAGCTCCCTGTCATCGACATATCCAGTGCTACAGCTGAGGTGGGCAAGCAAGTCATCGATGCTGCCAGGCAGTATGGCTTCCTCTACATTGATACAGCCAGCAGCTGTTTCTCCAAGGAGGAGATAGATTCCACATTTAAAATGGTATCTAATCATTCTTTCTATATTCCAGGGGAACCAAACATCTGTAAATATTACGGATGTATATCTAGATGTTCAAACTAACCCCACACAGGCACAAGAATTCTTCGCCTCCCCTATCGAGGAGAAAAAGGAGGTAGAGATCAGGTCAGATGTACGTCTAGATCTGTCCTTACATGGACATTGAGACTCGGGCGAGCTGACAGGGCCAGAACATGGGTTGGACAGCCATGCACAAAGAGACCCTGGACCCTGAACACCAGCAGGTAGACGACCACGCTTTTCCATCGCAATCTGAACTAGTTAAAGCTAACACACATCAACGCCAGAGGGGAGATTTTAAAGAGTATATATACCTTCTTACCACACAAGATACCCATACAATACCATGAACCCCGCATCTAACATGGTCCAGAGCAATCAACTTTGGCGAGTTCAAAAACAACAAAGCCAGCCAACCGCTGCCTAAGTCCCTTGTCTCTCACGAAGATGATTTGAACCGCTTCACTTCCCTATGCCAGAAGACATGCGCTCGCATCCTCACCCTTCTGGCTTTGGGTCTAGATGTATGTTCTCAACGTTATGGATTGTAGGGACGTTTCATACCAAAGCTAAGACCCAACGCCAATTAGATACGTGATGATTGGTTTTCGTCCCGCCACGACCCATCCCATGGCCCGTCGGGCAGCACCCTGCGGTTCCTATACTACCCGTCGCTCCGACGCCCAAGCACGCAATCGTACCAGCATGGGGTTGACGTACGGGCCGGCGCACATTCAGATTACGGGAGTATCACGCTCTTGTTCCAGCGAGATGGGCAGCCAGGGTTGGAAATTCTTACGCCGGCTGGGACGTGGGCGGGTGTGCCTGTTCGTCCGGCTGGGGTGTCGACTTCGGCTTCGCTTGCGCCGCCGATACTGGTTAATATCGGTGATTTACTTAGCTATTGGACTCGTGGGGTGTTGAAGTCTACTGTGCATAGGGTTGTTTTTGCGAAAGGCGAGGAAGAGGAGAGCGAGGGGAGGGATAGGTATAGTATTGTGTACTTCTGCCATCCGTGCCATGATACGGAGCTGGTTGCTGTGCCTAGTAGCATTGTTGAAGGGGTGGGTAAAGGTGAAGGTGAGGGTGAGGGCACGCGGATGGGAGGAGATAAAGTGGTTACTGCTGGAGAGCATTTGGCGAGCAGGCTTGCAGCTACGTATGGTAAGTCGGTGGGAGCATATCATCGTGACTAGGCAGGTAATATGTGCAAGCAAGTAAGTAGGCCTGGTTGAGGTGACTGGTGATAGTGTATATTGTATATATGGTCTCAATTATCCAGCATCAACACAGGACTACACTACACTATTGCATACATACAAGCCCGACAGATAGCGACAAGGAGATATAAAATATAAATAGAGAAGCAAAGAGATATATGCAGACGAACAAAACTATAACGGTGGAAAAGAAGAGAGAAAGAAATATCCTATTGACCTCCCCCCTTTCCCACCCACACCCAGCCTGACCAATGGAGCCAATTAGGTCACATACGTGAAAATGCAGCAAATGCAACAACCGGAGGAAATGAGAATTGTATGGAGAGGAGAAACACGATTGGAAACAGGTAAGAATGCCATGGACGGAGAGATAACGATAAAGTAAGAAACCAAGCTAAGGAAGGACGGACAGGTAGGCAAGGGTGCGAGGAAAGATGTTTAAGACGATACGATGACTTGCTGGAGAGCAAACGCTATCAGATGGATTGCCGTCGGGTGGGTGATGATTATGGCGTGCAGGTCGAGTAGCCGAGCACGTGTGTGCCAGCAGCAGTGTACCCACTGGTGTATAAGCAAGTAGGTGGGAGAGTAGTTCGGTGGGTATAAGGTGAGGATTGTCATGGCACGTCTGGGAAAAGATCATGTAGAGGAAGGCAAGATGAACGGCACCGATGTATGAAGAACAACGCTTAAGTACTTTAGATAGCATGAAGATCTGGTTTTGCCGTCTGCTCCGAGGATAACCAGATGCAGATGAATGCAGATGCATTGGGGCACACAATGGAAATATACAAGTAAATGCGGCGAGCGGAAGACCTTTTGAATGAAGGTCGAGTGAGTAGAGCCGCGGCATGATGAGGAACGGATGAAGACAGGCTTGCTAATGTCCAAAAATGGATGATGACAATAGAAACAGAGAAGTAGCAAAAGGGGAATCGTGCAAATGCCAGAGATGAAAAAGAGCAAGGAAAGCAAAGAGTAGCGTATAAGAGATTGATTAGGTTGTCACAGGGTAATGATGATGATGATGATGGCGGAGGAGGTGGTGGTGGTGGTGGTTGGGGTGATTGTAGTAGTAGTAATGGTGTCAGGCATGGACATCTCGTAACAAAAGAAATTCGTCGGATGTATAGAAGGGATATATATTAATGAATAAGACGGGTGAGAGCGAGGAAGAAGAGGGAACTAGTGTTCCGGTGACGAGTGGCACCAGTGTCGGTGGTAGACCCATGCGCTCTTCTGGCACTCTTTACTGCAGTATTTTGTCCTCCTGCACCGTCGACACTTTGCAAACTGTCGCTGGAACTCCTCCCATTTCCCGCACTTGTAATAGGCGCATTGACGAATGCCGCCTCGTGAATCGTCTTTACGGCACAGGTTGCGCATCACGACGCACGCCCAGTACTGCATGTCCTTTGTGTGGTGGCGAACGGTGAATTTTTCGACCAGTGGGAAAATGTTGAAGTCATCTGGGAGGATGTATTCTTCCATTTCTTCCTGGGCTTCTTCGGCGGTTTGAGGGGAGGCAGTGGTGTTGGAACCAGAAGGAGCCGATGTAGAGGGGCCCGAAGAGGACGAAGAAGTCGAGGCTGGCAGCGGATTTGCTTCGTCTAGCATTTCGAGTTCCTTGCCTATCTTGAGACGAGGTACAAGATGGGTTTGTTGGAAGTATGAGCGGAGGTTGCAGTACTTGGAGACGTAGGCGAGCAGTTGGAGGGCGAGGAGGACGTCCTCGTCCCGGGGCATGGCAGCAAGGATGGTAGGGCCGGCTGGGTTACCACTGCGGGAGGAGTGAGGTTGAGAGGCTGAGTGTGAGTGCGGGTTGGATTGAGGATGGGACTGCGACTGCGAGGGCTGGTGGTGCTGGTTCTGGTTCTGGTTCTGGAGGTAGAAGGGATAAGGGTTGTTGAAGACGCCAGGAGCCTGGTGGCCGTTGGGTTGACGAGCATGGGCGTGGGTTGGAGGGTGGCCGTTTGCCGGAGAGGTCGCCGCCTGGGCGGCCTGGGTGGGAGCGTTGACGGTGCTGGCGTCGTCGAGCATGGCATCACGGTCTCGCATGTTGATGTCCTCGAGGTCCATGCCGCTGCTGTCAAGGTCAACGATGGGCTGTTGTTCGGCAGTCTCGACGTTGGTTGTTTCCAGATCACCTTCACCCATGATGATGTCGTTGTCGTCTGGCTCAGGCTGTGCATCGGCGTCATCTGATTCACCTGAGGCGGAGCGTTGCTGACGAACCGAAGGGCGACGATGAAAGATGCGAGGCATGAGAGGCGGTATATTAGCCTGAGGAGCACCTGCACCAAGAGGTGTGGTGGGAGACTCTGGCTGGGAAGTGATTCCGGCCTGGAGACCGGGGAGGGCCGAAGGGAGGCGATCGACGTCTCTAACCTGGCGTATAGGATTAAACGGGTCAGTAGTAGGCGTTGTTGTGGCAGCCGCAGTAGCGACAGTGGCAGAAGCGAGTGGCTGCATGATACGGTGGCGATGACCTTCTCGCGGGTGATGGTGGTGATGGTGATGGTTAAAAGTCGTCCGTTCGGGCGGTGAGGTCAGGACGATGTGAGGAGACGGCTGAACGTCTATGGGGGTATGCAGGTTGTTGTGACGGCCCTCTGTGGCAGCGGTGGTTGCAGTGGTTGCTGCAGTGGTAGCAGTATTAGTAGTAGCGGTGTTATGTTCTGGCCCGTCCTGAGCATATGGTAGGGGAATCTCGATGGAAGGAGGAGGAGCCTGACGTCGAGCGTTCCGCTGGTCTGATCTATGGTCATAAAACGAAGCTCTTGACGTTCTAGGAGGCTGATCTCTCCTAGAAGATGTTGAAGAAGTCGGGATCGAGGTTGTTGTTGTTGTTGTTGTGGTGGTGGTATTAGTAGTAGAAGTAGTAGTAGTATTGATGGCAGTCTTGTGCTGTTTTGAGCGAGAGGCCTCTGGATCAGTGGATGCAGCAGCCGAAGAAGAGGCGCGTATCCGATCAACAACACGGATGTAGTTATCGAGGATGGTAGCAATAACGGGGACCATGTCTGCCTCTACCACACGGGTGCGAACATTCTCTGAGCCACGAACACCGATGTTGACGACGCACTGGAAGGCGAGATTCCACTTCCACATCTCCATGAGGTCCTTGCTGCGACCAGCCTTGAGGATGCATACCAGCTGTTCGATGCCGCCATCGACGGTGAGGATGTCACGGATGCGGTCTGATGAAGTAGTGAGGTAGGCAAGATGGTTGAGGGAGTTGATGAGAGGCAGAGTCGATGTGCAGTCGAGGGCCCGCCTGTCGTAGAGAGTAGTAGTGATGTTGACAGCCGCCTTGTTGACGCTGGGGATGCTAAAGTTGACTTCTCTCATCTTCTTTTCCCTTTCTTGTGTCTTTTTTTGTAAGTGGTGACTTCTTGAGATAAGTTCTGTCTGGCTATTGTTGATTTTTTTTTTTTCCCCCTTCGTTAATTAACCCTCTGGGGCCCTTCTCAGTAGTCGAGTCTGACGCTGACGGTGGTAAGACTTTTGAAACACAGGCTAATGCAGAGCCGGGGCAAGGGACATGGTATCACCCAAACGCAGGAGTGCCCAAAAGGAAAAGGAAAAAAAAAAAAGAGAGAGAGAGAGAGAGGCCAACTGTGAGAGGGACGGTCGATGAGAATAGCCGACCGATGGGGAAGAGCCGACCTGAGGCGACGGGAGATGCGGAGGGAGAGTCCGCCAGCGAGCGGCAGCTTTGGGTAAGGAGAGGTGGATGGATGGAAGGATGACCGTCGAAGCGCCGGGGAACAGGGGAGCAGGTCAGGGGAGACGCAGGAAGCCGCTGGGACGGTCAGAGCCGAGCTGTCGTCACAACAAGAGGGAGGGAGGGAGGGAGGAAGCAAAAGAAGGTCGAGACAACAGAGACGATGGCGGCCTTAAGGACGAACGAGCATGAGAGCTTCCTGGTCTTCTCTATGTTTCTTCTCTGTCTTTGTTTTTTTGCCTTGTGGCTGCTGGAGGAGGAGGCGGGAGAGGGTGGAAAAAGCGACGGGCTGAGCGAGGGCGGGCCGGAAAAACTGAGGGCGAGAGAGAGTAATAGGCGGGAAGAACAAACTCCCAGCAAGCAGCGATGACAGGACGGGGAGGCGAAGGGAGGAGGAGGAGGAGGAGGGGGAGGATCGAGAGGACAGCGAGCGTCCGCCAGCGATGGAAGCTGAAGGAGACGAAGATGAAGATGAAGATGGAGTTGACGCTGAAGAAAAGACGGAGAAGCTGAGAGAAGTTGAAGTCGAAAAGCTGACGTCGAAAGCAAAAAGAGCAAAAAGAGCAAAAGCGAGAGAGAGAGAAAACCCCAAAGGGAGAGGCAGAGAAGGGGAAAAGTTCCTCTTTGGGCAAGTTTGGCCTGTTTGGCTGGTGATGCTGAGTAATCCTTAGAAGGAGAAGAGAAGAAGAAGTAAGCAAGCTAAGGATAAACGACTAAGAGTGACTGTCAAGAGTGACTATCAAGAGTGACTGTCTTCTTCTCTTCTTCTCTTCTGCTCTTCTGCTCTTCTTCTGTTCTTCTTCTTCTTTTGCTGCTTTTCTTCTCTTCTTCTCTGCCCTTCTTCTCTTCTCTTCTTCTCTGCCGTCTGGCCCCCAACTGCTGCTTACTAATATGATTACTAACCAAACAGAAAAAGCAAGCAAGAAGTTTAAAAAGTGTTATTTTAGTTTGTGTTATTTTAGTCTCTTTAAGCGCTGACAGAGAGGAAGAGAAGAAGAAGAAGAGAAGTTGGGAGAGTAAAGAGAAGAAGAGAGTAAATAGTACTCCGTAGAAGAGAGAAAGAGAGTAAAGGTAAAGAGTAAAGAGAGAGAGGTTACCATCTTCTTACTTGTTACTTCTTCTCTTCTTCTCTTCTTCTCTTCTTCTCTTCTCTTCTCCCTCTGTGGCGTTTGTATTGTCTGTATCGCTGTATCGTCGTGTATCGTCAGCGTATCACTGTCGTAACCACCTCGTATCGCCCGCCGCCTGCAGCCTCTCTTTCTGGTCTCTTTCTGCCCTTTCTGCCTGTCTCCCGCGCTGTCACCGTCCCGTAACGTCTTTACGCCTCCTCCCTTCCCTTTCCTGGCCTGGCGTCTTTTTTTCTTCTCCTGCGCTTCTTCTTCTTCTTCTGGCGTCGCTTTTTCGCTCGTTCAACCTTCTTTCTTCCTTCTCTCTCTCTCTCTCTCTCGCTCTTCTTCTTCTTCTTCTTCCTCCTTCGCCCTCGTCCAGCTTCTCTTCTTCTTCTTCTCCTTCATCTGGCTCTCTCTCTCTCTCTCTTCTCTCATCTTCTCTCTCTCTCTCTCTCTCTCTCCGCCCCGAGTCTGCCCCGAACCGACGACAGACGACCCCGACAGGACCACCGACGAGACAAGGCGAACCCAGTCGAGGATCCAAGCGGTCGAACCGTCCGTCTCTTCTTCCCCCGGAATTGGCCGTCTGGCGTCGCTGCTCTTTGTCCCAGGACGGGCTCTCTCTCTACCTCTCTCTCTCTCTCTCTCTCTCTCTGCCTCCCAACCACCCCCATCTCCGCCCCATCACCACCACAACAACGACGACGACGACGACGACGACAATAACAACAACAAACGGCCCATAACAGCCATTGAAGACCGGCTGCTCGTCGCTCGACTCTTGCTCTCCTAGTCGTCTGCCTCGTCTCCCTCGTCTCCCCCGTCTCCCCCCGTCACCATGGCCGACTCCAGCGAACAGATGCAGGCCAAGATCGTCGCCGCCAGACGCGAGGCCGAAGTGCTCAAGGACCGCATCAGGCATCGCAGAGACGACCTCGCAGACACCACCCGTTCGTTATCCCTTTTCTCTCTCTCTTTCTCTCTCTCTCTGTCTCTCTATCTATCTCTATCTATCTATCTCTCCTGCTCTATGATTCTAACTAACAACTCTGATAGTCCGCCAGGTCGCCCAGAACAACACTGACCCCTCCCCCGAATCGGGATGCGCCCGCGCCGCAATCTCAAGGGCCATCTCGCCAAAATCTACGCCATGCACTGGTCCACCGACCGCCGCCATCTCGTCTCTGCCTCCCAGGACGGCAAGCTCATCATCTGGGACGCCTACACCACCAACAAGGTCCACGCCATCCCCCTGCGCTCCTCCTGGGTCATGACCTGCGCCTACGCCCCCTCGGGAAACTACGTCGCCTGCGGTGGTCTCGACAACATCTGCTCCATCTACAACCTCTCCTCCAGAGACGGGCCGACTCGGGTCGCCCGTGAGCTCTCGGGTCACTCGGGCTACCTCTCCTGCTGCCGCTTCATCAACGACCGCCGCATCCTCACCTCTTCGGGCGACATGACCTGCATACTCTGGGACATCGAGTCCGGAGCCAAGATCACCGAGTTTGCCGACCATCTCGGAGACGTCATGAGCATCAGCATCAACCCGACTTCCAACGACGTCTTTGTCTCTGGTGCCTGCGACATGTTCGCCAAACTGTGGGACATCCGTGTTGGCAAGGCCGTCCAGACCTTCTCCGGCCACGAGTCCGATATCAATGCCATCCAGTTCTTCCCCGACGGCAACGCCTTTGGAACCGGCTCGGACGACACCACCTGCAGACTATTCGACATTCGAGCCGACCGCGAGCTCAACGTCTACCAAGTTAGTATTCCTCTTTTTTTTTCTTTTCTTTTCTTTTTCCTAGTTAATATATACTAAATACTAACTTCACTATCAGAGTGACCAAGTACTCTGCGGTATCACCTCGGTAGCCTTCTCGGTCTCCGGACGACTACTCTTTGCCGGTTACGACGACTACGAGTGCAAGGTAGGTCTTCTCTCTTATATCCTATTTTACGTTCATTCTAGAACATGTTACTAATCCATCGTCACAGGTATGGGATGTGTTGAGAGGAGAAAAGGTCGGCTCGTTAAGCGGCCATGAGAACAGAGTCAGCTGTCTCGGCGTCAGCAACGACGGCATAAGCTTATGCACAGGTTCCTGGGATTCACTGGTAGGACTTCTCCTCTCGTCCCTTCTTTTTTCTTTTCTTTTTTTTGTCTTTTTGTCGCCGTTGTTGTACTTGCATCCCAGCTAACGTCTCCCAAGCTTAAAATCTGGGCCTGGTAAACCGGCCAATTCTCCCATCTACTACATCATACACCTCTACCTACCTCCCACGACGACGACTACACCGCTATTATCTTTTACTCCGACCTACCGTCTCCTTTGTCGTTTCCTCTCTGTCTAACTACATCTCGTCCGTGCTCTGTTAGTGTCTGTCTTGCTTTTTCTCTTTTTCTCTTTTTATCTGCCTGTCTTCCTTGTCTTGCTTTGAAAAGTGGAATGGGACGGTCTATCTATTCTTTTCCTGTCTCTCTGTCTGCTCTGCTTTTCCTCTTCCTGCCGTCCGTTGTCCCCTCCCAAAAACTTCCCCCCTTATACATGATGCCGCCTTCTCCATCTCTCTCTCTCTCTCTATCTCTCTCTTCCTCTTACCTCGACATGACTGATCTATTTCTTCTTTACTTCATGTTACCTTTTTTTTTTTTTGGCTTGGAGCTTTATTACTTACCTACCTCTCTCATCCCCCTTTTTCTACACTACTTTCTTACATGGGGATTAATTATTTACCACCTTTTACCTTCTTCTTCTTCTTCCACTACTACATCTTCTATGCCTTTCTTTTCTTCTTCTTCTTCTTTGATTCCCCGCCGTCTCAAGGCATAATCACCTCCTCTGACCTCCTCTTGACCTCTCTTTCTTCTCCCTGAGCCATCACCACTAACTTCATCCTCCCACCATCATGCTCTATCTATCTACCTCTATACTACTACTACCACTACCACTACCACTACTACTACTACTACTACTACCAACTATACTACTATACTATACTATGTCATCATATATACTCTTGACTTGCTCTTAAACAATCCAACTCCTTTGCTTCTTCTTCTCTTCTTCACTCCCTCTTCTCTTGCTGTGAACCCCCTCCCTCTGATCGCATCGTCCACGCCTGACAGCTGCAGTGAACAGCCACCTGCATTAACTACTCCCCTTCCCCCTCTTCCCCCCTCTTCCCCCAGTGCAGTGACAGCCCCAGCTGCCCTTCCCCCCAGGCTATAAAATCCCCTTCCTCCCCCCAGATTTCCCAATCTCTTCTTCTTCCTCTTTTTTTTTCTTTCTTCTCTCCATCTACCAAACTACCACAACCGAGACATATCCCAGCGTCTACTTACGGTTTACTCTACTATATATACATACCTAGGTATATACTTTACTACACCACACCACACCATGCCATATACTCCTTCGTTTGTGTTCCATAAGCTCGGTACCGTGCAGAAGAGAAAACAGTCGTCTTGACCCCTTTGTGGGTTCGGTTCCCGCGCTATACTTCGCGCTACTGCCGGGGCGGCCAAAAGGTACATGTATACCTGTCGGGGATTTATTACATATATATATACGTATAGACACCCACTCACTCGCGGCCTGGCAGTAAACATCTTCCGGGCCGTGGGTGAGTGGGCATCTGAGGTCGGCTCTACGCCGGCCCATAGGAGGCCGCCCTGCCTGTCTGTCAATCCAAACAATATTCGAAACGTCCAATTGCACCGACATATTATTACGGGAACAACATAAGTACACTCACCCAATTGCTTCTACCCTGGCTCATCACTCGTGGTAAGCCTCTTCTCCGGTATGTTCTTTGACTGCTCCATTCCTTTCTTCCCCCCCCTTTTTTTTCCCTTACCAACGTGACCCCCTAAAACTAACAGGATCTACATCCAGACCGCCTGGCTCCGGTACCTCGGCATTCCGTGTGTTAGGCATTCGGTATTCGGTATTAATATACCAATTATTATATACATATATATACAGTAGGATAGCAAGACATTTATTTCCGGTAAGTCACAGCTGTCACGGTTGATCACTTGATGGAAGCTATCTGCTAACATCACTTCTACAGGATGAGGCCGGTGCTTTGCCCTCGTGGCATTATCACGGATATAAATGCCTACCAACTTCTACCCAGACCAATGGGTTCCACGGTGAAGCTGTTATATCCTTTACAAAACATGACTATATCAGAAGATGGTTACAAAAGGGACCAAAGCGGTCCATGGGTGGCTCCTGGTTCCGCCAAAAGGGAAGCGGTTTAATAACAGGATATTGTGTCTATCCACCTGGGCTGGTAGCTTCGAGCTGGTAGAATATACTATCAGTACCATAATCTAATTTATTCCACATGTCCAATCTAAGTCTGCTTTTCGATTTTATTAACTGGCGAGATGGGCATTCCCGTAGCATACCACGCCTTGATATTCTCAAAGCACTCTAGCTCGGACAGCCTGAAGGCCCCGTCGGTATACCCACCCAGATGAGGCTGTAGTATGCACTTGTCGCTCTCCATGAAATACGGACTGCAGTACCACGGTTAGCCGTTTAATTAAAGAACATAGACAAATATGGATAGCAATCTCGGTGTAACTTACTTGATGTTAGGCTCGTTAGGAAACACATCTAGACCAGCCATCTTGACCTTTCCGGACTTCAACGCATCTACCAATGCCTCTTCATCAACGATCTGTCCCCGGGCAGTGTTGACAAAGTACACCCCGTCTTTCATCTTCTCGAACTGTTCACGCCCAAGCAGATTCGTAGTCTCTTTGCTCAGCGGGCAATTGACGGATATCACATCCGAGCAGGCAAGCAGTTCATCCAGCGTCGAGCAGTATCTAGCATTATACTGCTTCTCAACGTCCTCCGCAAGGCGGTTCCGATTGTAATACACCACCTTCATGCCCAACACGTCTGCTCGTTTAGCAAGATACTAGCCGCACATCAAATATATCAATCAGCACGTATCCCATACACCTCACCTCCACCAAAAACATGTCGTTTCGAGCTTACCTTCCCAATACTACCCATCCCAATAATACCCAACACCATCCCGCGAGGAGACCTACTGACGCCCTCGATGCCCTGTCGCCAAACCCCGCTTTTCGCACATCGTTCCGCAACAGAAGCATTCTTCAGCACGGCCAGGATGAGGAAAATCGCCATGTCAGCTGTGCATTCTGACACGGCGTTGCGAGAGTTGCAGAACCATATGCCGTTGCGAGTCATCCAGTCTACGTCGAATTCATTATACCCTGCCGAAGCAGAGGCTATGATGCGACAGTCGGGGAGTAGAGGAGAAAGCATCTCTGCGTCAAATGGCTCGAAGACAATGGTGCCTATGCGCACGATCACTGCGTCAAAGGGCCCATCTTTGCGCACCCGAGCCGCTAGTTCGGGAACCAGGCCGGCGCGGGCAGGAGATGTGAGAGACTGGTATCCTGGCTGTTAGGTATCTGGTATTCTCATGAAGGTATGTTTGTAACATTGACGAGAGACTAGACTGACGTGGAGCTCGAATTTGGTTTGGAAGTCAGCGAGGTACGCCTTGTCCGTGAACTCGGGATAGCTTAGGCATAGCACTTTGGGCTTTTGCTGGGCCATGATGAAGCAATTACTTTATGGTCTGTGTCTAGTATGGGGTATTTGGCTTCTTTCACTGTCGAGGCGATATTCGGCTGATATTGAGGCTGAGGCATCGATGTCTTCGTTGTTGGCGTCTCGGTTGTTATCCGAGGTCCTGCATCGTATTCGATTCTCCACATGGCTGATTAAGGTGTCAGATATCGATTAAGATGGCTGGCATTATAGATGTAAAAAGTCCTACTGGAGAAACATACAATACTTGGCTTTTGATACTCGCGGCTATCTATAGCTATCATTGCTGGATAACCATCACTCCACAAGCCCACTGGATGGATCGACCCGCCACCCCCCTGAATCCACTATCACTTGGTGGGCCAACTATTTATATAACTATATAATTCGGGGAGATCCATAAGTTGACCAGATCTATATTGCCAGCTACTATAAGTGCTAGCTTATATTATCGAGATTAATGCCGTCGAAAAAGAAAGTTGGTATTGGTATCATTAATTATATACAGGTAGTTAAGTTGGTGAAAATATTATCAATTAAAAGATTACGGTCGTGTATGCGCGAATGGAAGAAAAATGCACCCTCTCATACTCTTCTTCGATCAACCTGGACGAGATTTATGGATGGCTCCGTCGGGCTGTTCTCGGATTTTATCGTAGTGTTCACCGAATATGAAATGGTCTTGGAAATGTAGCCATCCCCGGATTCGACCAAGGTGGAGTTGGAGGTATACTCCTCTCCCTTGGAGTTGCCGGTAGAAGAAGCATTCAATCGTTTTTGAGACGCAGCCTCGGTGGTTTGGCCAAATACTTCGGGAACGTAGTGGATGAGCAGTGTCCGTATGGCAGGTAGGCACGCGCAGACAATAGCTATCTGGCATTCGATCATGGACCAGTAGTTTAGGGGTGCCATTTCATCTATCAAGCATGGTTAGTGAATGGGCCTCTTTAGAAAGGGGGCATCTGGGTGCTACGCACAGGTAGGGTTTGTAGTGGGATCATGCTGGAACAGGATAATCACTCGTGCAATTCCAATGGCCGTCAATCTAAGCAGACACGTTAGTTGATCGTGGGAAATAACAGTGAGAATCGGTGCAATAAACTTACAGTAGACCCATTCCGAACATCACTGCAACCCCGACCTTCTTACGGCGGGATAGTTTCAGCTTGACGACCTCGTATATTGGCATAGTTACCATGACAGTGTCAACAGCGATATTGACGAACCCGTTGACATAGGTTGAGGTCATGAAGTTGATGCAAGTGCCTGTCTCCTCCATTTTCCATGAGGTCCACGCTAGATGGACGGGGACACAGTGGAAAGCATCAACTAGTATCCATGTAATTCCAATTGCCGCATTGAGTGCAATAATACTATATGTAGCATAACGGAAAGGAGTTGACCTGAAGATTCGCAGCAGGAAGAAACCGACGGATATCTTCGCGAGGGATATCAGAGACTTATATACCAAGACGTATGCGAAGAAGACCTATTTATTCATAGTTAGCCCTCTTCCTCACATTTCCTTGAGGACCTGGACAAGATGGACCTTGAATGCTATTGTTAAATCTTCCTGTGGAATAACGTCCCATATGTTTTTGCCAAAGCCATAATGGATCACTAGATAGGTGGTTAGCACCCTATCCTAGATATGTCTTGGGGGGATTGATCTTACTTTGAGTGTGTAGCGTATAAATCGCAATAGCAAGTACCTACGATCATTAATAAAAAGGAGTTGAAGGTACGTGGGATGGGTTTGCCTTACATATGCCACAGATATGGTATAGTCGTCAGCACCCCATCCACCTCCCAGATGCATCGCCTTAGATGCGATCCTAACTGAGAAGAAGAAACTAGCAAATAGGAAAGGGATAAGCGTGCCCGCGTCTACTTCGGTGTATCGCGGTTTTGTGATGATACCACAGGCCTGTGAGCTGAGATGCTTTGCCACTATATTATATTATCTTAGGATGCCGAACAGGCCGAAAGTAGGGAATAAGGGAAGTCTTACTCAAAGCCTCACTTCCCGTGCAGTGTTTCATTATACAACCAGCAACCTTACCCTGGAATGCCTCGTCTGCACAGAGACAGGGTATATCTTTGGCAGAGCATTGTGTCCCAGCTTCGGCAATGACTTGGCTCTGGCAGTCGGTCTAGGAGTGTATTAGTTGGCGTTCGTTATATCATATTCACATTCAACTAGATAACAGGCCTTCTTACCGCACACTGAGGGAAAACTTCATCTCTTGCAGTCAAATGCGAGGTAGCAATAGGCGATGCCAGGGCCATTGAGGCCAGGCTCAACACCAACAGGAAGCGCATTTCCGGCACTAAACAATACTATAGTTGATAACTATAAACACCTCGGACGCTCTCACAAGACACACTTCCGTTGCACACAGGAAAAGATTGAGGCCTCACTCATCAGAATGAGACGGCTTGCGGATGAGACGGTCTATATGTCTCCCAAAGTATCTAAACAGCGGCAACTGTCTTTGCTTTTCTTGAGCGGCATAATGGAAGTCACCGTTATTCCGGAAGCAGGCTGCATTTCAACCACTGACTCCAGATCTGCAGGCAACTATTGAACTTGGTGCGCCACCAACTGCAAGAGAACGTCTGGACATAATTGTCCGAAGCCAGTAGCTGGGTATAATTTCAATTATGCAACTTCATCGAATGGGGATCGTTCAATGGCTGCTGGGATCCGCCACCTCGACCGTGATACAAGCAATACAAGAGGCGGCAAAACTCTGGTACCGACTAAATCGGGGCGCATGCAGTGGCCTATGGCGATGTTTTGACGGGCTGGAGATCGAAGGACATGTTGGAGTGCCCAGCAGGGATCTCTTTTATGGTCAGAATTCGTCCATATCGGCTCTCGCTCAGGGGTAAAAACGTTAACTAATAAAACGAAGATTTGCGGGTCCACCTCGCAACTAGATGACTACTGATAGTTGCGTACTAACGAGTTCGCGGCGAACTGGGGTTATTACTTAAATCTTTTGAGTGAAAGCCGCCTGATTAGCTCGTTAGCTGGGTGTCTATTTAACTACCCCGGGAGGAGACAGGGGTAAAGATAAAATGTGGGCAGGGATATGGAGTAGGCGATAGTGGTCTAGTACGGGCTATCGTGTGTTCAGGGGAGACCCGTCAATATATGGCCATCCAATCTCCGATAGAGATATAAAAGAAGCACTGGTTTCCCGGAATCTCCGGGCATCAATAGTTAACGCCTGCTAGATATAGTTATTTCTCTTCCCGCAATATCCCAGAGGGAGTCCTCAAGAACTTCACCAACTGGGCGAGTCGCATGTAGTAACGAAGTAAACTTCTCATTGGCTTTGACGTGAGCCAGCCACCGTCAGGTTCGATGGCAAATCTCCCACGATGTTATGCGGAGGCCTCTCTGGGTAAGCAAGTCGCCATTGAGCCACCGATACTGCCTAATGGAAATGCATGGCTGGCAGATGCAAATGCAAGACATATGTCAGTCGATAAAGGAGATGGATCTCCCGATGTGTATTACATATAAGCATGATCTACTTCAATGCTTAAGCGATTGAGTAAAGGGGGCTTCATTGACCATCCGCTATTTGAACGGAAAGTAGAAGCCGGAGAGATTTGTATCCGGAAAGGAGGCCTCAGCGGACATCGATAGCGTAAAATTTTCAATATATTTCTTGCAGCCAGCACAGTTAGTGTGTAGTCTAACCATAGATTGGCGGCGCGATGATAATTAACATATCGGATCTGACTGATGAGTGTCTGTGTAAGACGGCTCTAGCCAGCGAACTCAAGCCTCCTTGAAGAGGAGAGCCTCTGCTCCGAGGTTTCTGAGTGGATATACTGCTTAAAGGGATCATTTTCGTGAAAATTGATTGGTGTTGGTTTGCTAGGATTGTTCAGGGCAGGCTCTGGAGGGTCTCGGGCTGCGGATCCAGCTTGATAGAGGCCAATATCTGGCCTGAGACCTGATAGCCGACACCTGGCAAAAAGGTGGATGACCCCTGGAGTCAGCTCCAAGGCCCTACAATGGCCAGCTGAAGATTGCGGTTCAGGGATGAGAGGTTCAATATATACTCGGTATGTCAAGGTCTCCCTATCTATTTCGCATGCTGTCTGCCATCCGGCGGTGTAATCGGGACACTTCCTAGGTTGTCCATGGCTGTTCAAAGAAGGTGAACAGATTGGGTATCTCTGGCAGTTGATCTCATCTGCATCTCTTAGCTCGTTGGCTATACGAGAAGAGGCTTGTCCCAGAACTCTGGCTGACAGTGTAGATTGTCACAAGCAGAAGCTCGGTACGGAGTACTCCGTAATACTGTAGTTTTCGCCGCAGAAGCAGGAAAAATCTCCAGCCAGTCGCCCCAGGAAGACACTTGTTGATCTTGGGCAATGATGGCTCTTCTGTGTGCAGTTCAAGTTTTCAGCAGTGGAGCTGAGGTTGTGTTGATGGGCGCTGATAGCGTTGAAGATCGCGAGCCTTAAATGGGGTTGAACCATCATGACAGGCTCCCGCTCGCTCGCTACACGGGAAGACAAAACGATGATTTCGCAACGAAGCAGGCTCTCTCCCGGAATAAAGTAAAGTATTTAAGCGGCAGGATCCATGCCCTCGAAGTGACTTTTGATCGCAGCAGGGTGTTCAAGTATCTTCTGGTTCGTCTTCCGACTGGCCAGACAGGGGTTCGTACATAGTAACTCATAGTTAACGGGATAAAAGGGGTTGCTGGCCAGAGTAAGTAAATGGAAGATCAGCTCTCTTTTTCTCGAGCTTTACGGAGTACAGAGTACCGACTTACATGACCTCAGAACTGTCAATAATATCACCCTTATATCTGGAGATTCAGACATGGGATCCCGAGAGGCCGCATTTCTCAGTCTTTGCTCTGTCCAGCTGGCGCTAGTTAACTACCCTGATCGATTGATTCCACACTAGAGTAATCGGGGGTGAGGGACAAGACAGATCGTGGACCTCTCTACTCCCGTACTGCCGGCGATATAAATAGAGCTGGACGAAAGAAAGATGATGTGGTTGGAAGATGCAACTGGGTCAGTTCTGGGAGATGGATCCTACCGCTCAAGGCCCTCTCTACTGATACTCCATAATCATAGAGGGGGTACCAGAGCTAGAGGTCTCGGCTGAGTAGACCAGGTCCTCTATCCGTGATGTGGCTTCTTCAGCACATCGAGAAGATTGCTGGCTCAGATAATACGATAACGGGTGGTTGGAATCGTTGAAGGGCTCGTCCGTCTCTAGTCTATAACCCAATATTAACCACCAACCCCTTCGGCAACTGAGTTCATAATCAAACATGTAATCATGCCTGTCTATGGGCGAGTCTAGATCCAACTGACGACATGGCTTTTACCAAGCAGCAAGGGGAGGAAGGGGAAATGGTTGCCAAAATTGCGGGCTTTGGCACGACTCAAAGTCTACAGATGTCGTAGATTCCCGGATAATAATTTTTGTACGGAGCAGAGTCTACACAACAGGGGTGTTTCGGGTATGTATCCGTTAACTTGACAAACCTGCGAAAGTACAGGCCGACGTAGCCTGGAGGTAAGTACTTACATCTCAGTTCCTGCGGAAGATTTGAGGATAAGAGGTAAGTTTGTGGCCGAAGAACTCCATCAAGTCGGGGTTGAAACAGGGAGAACAGGAGCTCCCTCCGCAGAAAAAAGGGAATTCGGCATGCCCGTAACTGCCGACACCTTGCTGTCCAACGGCGAGGGGAGGATTTTCTCGGGTAGAGATGAACGTCTGAACATGCAGTCGCAGCCTAACTTATAAGATTGACAATAATGCTGCTGCAGGTGATGGGGTGGTTGAAACGGCCGCGGCAATGCTTGCATATGTTGGCAGTCGAATAGAGGAATGATAATAACTCAGCGTGATATATCGCTGGCGGCTGGCCAAGCCGATATCCCAGCCCACTGCATGATAGGTTAGTGGCCTCAGGCAAGAAATGACAAGAGATAAGGGTAGGACTGGACAATTCGACAGCACCTGCAGCCAGCTCGCGGGTTCACGGCGGTCTAAGGGGAGGTGAAAAACCATCCGTCCTTCCAGTGCAGGTTTGGCAGCCAGCCATGCAAATAGTTTTTTCCTTAAGTGCCTAACTAAGAGCAAGGGTTGGAGACTTGTGCAATCGAAGGGATGACGCAGAGATTGCATCGACATCTGCATCAGGCAGGGGAGCCATGCTTCTCTGCCTGTCTGCTTGCCCTGTCTATATGACTGTCTGACTGTCTTTGTATATGTAAGTTAGTAGTTCCCTATATGGAATCAAAAAGCAGCAACCGTATGCCGAGGCCAGGAGTCGACTCCATCGGACAACTCAGAGTGAAAGTGCAAACTTCACTAGCCAACGAGAAGAAAAAGAAATGAAAGCACAGGGAGGAGGTCCAACCGGAGTTAGCGTGCGCTTGTGGAAACCTGAAACAAAGCCACGCGACACAGAGCCCCCTGAAGCCGAGATGTTCCCATCAGCTTCCTCGCAAGGGGACGGGCGTTAAGCAAGGATGGCGAAGTTAAACCTCATCAAGTTGTATATTCCTTGTGGTGTAATGCTAAGAGGAAAAGGAAAAAAGCCTCGATCCACGTGGAAAAGGGGCGTAGGCTAGCTCATGGTCTTCTTGGATGGCCCTTTGGTTGACTCCTTTTTTTTTTTTTTTGCCTCCTTCAGTCCATATTCTGTTGAGTGCATTTTTGGCATCCAACCCACGGATAGGCCGGAAAGAAGTAGCCCACTCTTAAACGCTCTCTCTGCGGAGGATCTCCATCTTGTCCAGAGTTATAGTTGATCACACCCGTCCAGTTGTAGCTGCGTTGCGGAGCATCCCCTACCGGTGTCCTCCGTCGTTTGGCAGCAGTTACTTACTTCGTAGAGCCACAGCACGAGATAGAGAAGAGCCCTCAGACGGGTGATATATCAGTTTCCCATGTGCTCGAACGGGACATCCGAGATCAACAGTCACTGCGTAAGCCTTGTTTTGGGCATCTCCTGCTTTCAGTCGGCAGCCAATTCCTTTTGTCTGTTCCGTGTCCTGCTTTGTGCTGCCGTGTTTCATCATGAAATGTCCAACGCAGCCGAAGAGCACATGTATGGAATGCCCAAGTAGCGCTCGTCCCCTCTGGCGCACCCAGTAACCGGTTCAGGACAAGAGAAAGAAGCAAAAACAAAAAAACTACTCCGTCGTCAGCGTCTGTCTGGAAATATGGAGGAGGGAAAGAAGCAAATCATATCAGGCGGAGGGGAGGGACTGGCCACTTGGGTGCTTTTGATATCCCTGGATACGAGCCCAGAGCGCAAGAGGTCGCCTTGCCCCTGGCCTTAACCTTCTGAAACAGCCTCCCTCGTCTCTCTCTCTCTCTCTTTCGATGCTTCAGTCTATCGTCTTTGCTCTCCCTCCCAGCTCTCCTCCTGCCCAACCGCGGACCCTGCAAAGAAACTCCCCATTGGCCGCTCCTAGTGTGTCTCCAGCTGGTCACCGACCCGAGGTTTGGCCCTTTTTTGTTTCTTCTTTTGCTTCTTTTTCTTCTTTTTCTTCTTCTTCTTCTTCTTCTTCTTATTCTCCTTCTTCGTCTTCGTCTTCTGCTGTTGGTGGTTCGTCCAAAAAGGCGGGCGGTTCCAGCCAAAGTAACGACATCGTCACTTTTTCCTCTCTCACACACACTCCACGCACCCGCAACCGCAAACCACGCAACGCCAGCCAGCCAAAAAGCAAAGAAGCCCCTGAAGAACGGCCAACGAGAGCAAAGAAACGGCGCGAGCGAGCGAACAGAGTCGATCCTTAGTTAGCACAGCAGAAAAAAGTAAGTAGGGATCATACCCACCCACCCGTATCCGGAACCGCCCTCGCTCGACTCTTATGGTTATATATACTGAGCATGCCTTTCCCCCCGTCCCCGCGAGCAGCGCCCACCATGTCTCCCGCCCAAGACGAAGCCGACGCCTTGCTCGACCCCAAGGACAAACAGCCCGCAGCCCATCCTGAAGACCTCGCCCACTTCTCCGGCGACGAGTACAAAGACGACGACGAGGAGGAGGACGAGGACGAGCACAACGAGAAGCGTACCAACCGCATCCGCGCAGCCAACGCCGCCGCTGGAGACGATTCCGACGAGAGCGAGATCGACTTCTCCGGCACCATGGTCTCCAAGCCGGCCGCATACCACATCCCGTCGACCGTCTACGACGCCAACACGGGGCCCAAGGGCGTCATCGCCGATGCGCAGTCCTTTGAGCGCGCGAAGAAGCGCTCCTTCAGACGCACCCTGACCTCCGCCAGCGCATTCGACTACAACCCGTTCTCCCGCAGCGGCCACAACTCTCCCGGCGCCAGCGAGAAGCACAGCAAGAGCGGCAGCACCAGCAACTTCATACACCGCGGCGCGAGTCCCGGCGACTCGGCGGAGGAGAGTGACGAGGATGAGCGCTTCATGCGCCAGTGGAGGGAGGCGCGCATGCTCGAGCTGCAGAACAAGTCTACTCGCCGGGTCAGCCCCAGCAAGCGACGGTACGGCAACGTCGACACTGTCGATGCCACGGGATACCTTGACGCCATCGAGAAGGTCACCCCGGGCACCGTCGTTGTGGTCTGCATCTACGATCCAGAGGTCAGTTCTTTACTCTCATATAGCTAATTTATATACATATATACTAACGGCATATACAGTCGACTGAGAGCTCGATAGTAGAAGACTGCCTTACTTCGCTTGCTCGCAAGCAGGCCACCACACACTTTGTCAAGCTGCACTATGAGATCGCCGAGATGGACCACATCACCGCTCCGGCCCTCATCGCCTACAGGAACGGTGAGGTCTTCGCTACCATCATCGACGTCATGAAGCAGCTGCCAGATGGCCGTGGCTGCAGCTCTGCCAGCATAGAGACCTTGCTTATGCAGTACGTCAACACCCCCATACACCATTCACATATACTTCTTCCACTGAACTTCCCTGCTAACTGATATCACAGACACAAAGTGCTCTAGACCCGCTTAATCTCGCTGTCTCTTTCCATTTTACTTTTCTGCTCTTTTCCTTATATCCTCTAATCATTAATCTCTTTATATCTCTAATGTTATGACTTCCATTCTTCCACTCTCATACCCCGATCATGCATTTTCCTATATCTTGCTATCCATCCTGTTCTGCTGCTGTTTTCCCCCATCATATCATACCATACCATACCCACCTCTTATACTAGTCTCTGCTTTCTCTCCCTCTCCCTCTCTCTCTCCGTCTTCCTCCCGTTTTTCTCTTACTACCTTTGCCATGAGAGGTGAAATAGCGCCGGTGCACCTAACCTGGTTGGCTCATGGAGGTGTTTTCTTGCCTTGCCTTGAATTTCATACTCTGGCAGTATAGAAACCTGGTACAAAAAAAAGTACAGGGAGGTTATTTCGTTTATCTCGTTTATTCCCTCTATCGTTTCTATTTAATCTCGAATCATGTCTCTCCACTATTTTTTTTTTTTTTGATGATAACACATTTTATAGCATAGGCATATCTATCACTAAATTCATCTTTCTCAACAACCATTTTTGCATGTTCTCTGGATTAATGTCTCTCCGTATATATATACTGGTTATAGTTATCCTGACTCATGCCTAGAGGTAACGCTCTTTGACTTAATCATGGAGAAGCCAGACACCGGCTCTAGTAACACGTAGATATAAATAACCACAAGAATGACTGAAACGCACGGTACTAACAATATACAAAAAAAAAAGCCCCCGGGTTCGAATTATCAGAATGGGCAAAGTTCTTCATCCGGTATGTAACGCCAATTTTTTTTCTTTTTTTCTTTTTTTTTTCTCGCAAAGACGCCAATTGATATCTGTCCAAGGGGGTGTTTATAGGTCTCGTTACTCTTGTTCCATTGTCTCTGCATTAACCCCCGTTTTCATCTCTTTTTGTCTCGTTTCTTTTGGTTTCATAGAAATAGATTCATTCTCTCTATCCTATCTTAGAAGGCAGGCGTCAATTATAATACTCCCTTTTCTTGTGTGAATTCCCAGAGCATTCTTATCAGAGCGTCGGGGAGGGTATATAAATCAACGTGGAATTCTCCCTCTAAGATCCAAGTTAGCTCGGGTAAGCCCAACTGCTGCGGAGGACGGAGAATGTGGGGAATGTCATGTCCTTACGTTCAATATCGTTTTTAGTATACGAGTCCGAGGACTTGTTGTCATGCACCATCTGGACAACTTGGAGCAGGTCGTCTTCTCCCAGCTTCTGCAGGCCATCTGCTAGCTTCTCCATATCGACCTAAAGAAGAGCTGTCAAAACATGCATTTGCCCTGTCAACAGAAAAGACAACTTACGTTCTTATCCACGCGTTTTTTCTTCTTGGATTCCTCCTGGCCCCGTTTCTTCACTCCATTTTCATCACCAGGTACAGGGCCAGACTCACGCAGCTGGGCTAGAAGCGGAGGCTTAGGGTTTTTGAACGTCTGTCCCCCAAGGTTAGAATTGGAGAGCATTTATGACGTATAAATTGCGACGTGATACGTACAATAACATGCTTTGACTCGTACTTGCTCGATTGGAAGTTCAAGTCATGCGTAATGGAATGGTCCTTATCTGGCGCACTCAAGACAATCTGCATATCGAACTCACCCCATCCTTCCTCTTCGATTCTGAACGGAGGGGATTTTATAGCTAGTATAGTCAGCAGCCAGTTCCAGTTCCGCAGTGTCAACATCATGTTGGAGGGGAGACAATAAGTGCGGCGCAACGTACTCTGCGTAGCTCTTTGCTCGAAGCTGGGATGTAGATGGTATGTCACCTTCGGGAATACCGACGCAGGAACGGGCTCTCCATGGTCGTTCAGGAGATATATCTCAACGGACCACTGACGGAGTGGGAAGCCTTCGATACCGGAGTTTGGGTCCCTGTTTACCGTGAATACACCTGGTTAGCCGGCGAATTTCACTGCTTACGCCCTCAGAAGCTATGGGTATATCCTTGGCCTGTAGGAGGGTGATCCGGCGCGCATTGCCCATGTAGCTACGAAGCAGATGTAGCCGTCTTCATCATCCAAGCTATACTGCACGGGTATCAACAGGGAATCATGCGCCGGAACACCCCATATACCCAGCCAGCCCAGGAAGCCACAGCCATGCAACGAGGGGATCGCGAGGCGCAACAAAGGAAGCTTGAAGGGGACACGAACGATATACGCGACTCCGTAACGATCTTAATAGTGCGCTTGACCTATATCATGCGTAAAGCACCCGAGTCAGCTCATCTATCATTCTCTCCGCGCCTAATCCGCAGACGCGACTTGCCGAACGAACCCAACACCACGACTGGTATGGTAGAGGCGGGTAGGAGACTTACATCTGGCATCTTGGCCTTGCTTCTCTCTATTTCTCCGGCAGCGTGTCAGAAGATATCCTGGCCCTACTCAGCGCCGCTTATGGGTTTCAGGTTCGTTCCTGGCAAGCAGGAGGGAAGATAGCGGTGGGCGGGGGGGCGTTTGGAGGCGGAGGCGTGTGGTCGTCCGCTGTCACTGATGGCAACTAGTGATGAGAACAGCGCACTGGAGCTTGCAGCCGGTAGAGAAGAGGATGTCAGTCTGTATATGTCTCTGAACCGCTCTTCTCTTTCTCTCTCTTTCTCTCCTTTCTTTCTCTCTCTGTCTGTCTCTTTCTCGTCGCTTTCGTTTGGCCGCTTTTTTTCCTTTGGTGGTTGGAAAGAAGTTTTGTATGAGGTAATCACGATCTCTTTGCTTTTTCGCCGAACGGAAGAAATGTTATAAAAGGGAAAGGGAGGCAACGAGAGAGAAGTCAAGGAGATGATTACTGGATGGTTACTTTGGCTACGGGAGCAGAAGAGCAGCAGTTAGGCTCTAGGAAGAGCATGGATGGTGGTTGATTTTCGTTACGACGGCTATCCTTCCCCCTCAGTCCGGCCCTGGCTGCTCTAGATGGTGGCAGCAGGGCCAAGGGGAGGAGCGGGCAAGGGGGACCAGCTCGCGAGCGCCGTGTCTCCGCGAACAAGGGGAGGGTAGAGAGAGAGAGAGAGAGAACATCATCAAGAGTACAATCTCGGGGCATTGCATTGGAGTATATTGGAATATTGGGATTGGGATATGGTGGGCAAGTTAAAAGGGAGTTGAAATGGGGGGAGGGGGGGATGTTATTCCTAAATAAGGGTCAGTGACATAGGTAGAAGGGTTTCATGCAAAAGATGATGGCATAGGAGCAGTGATGGTTGTCTGCTAATGAAGCATCAGGTGTAATGCAGGAACGGGGGTTGCATGGCTATATTTCGATTCGATGGCGGGTGATCATTCTTTTCATCTTTTCATCTTGTCATCTTCTGTTCATAGCAGTGGTGCTGGCTCATATCTCTCCAATATCCTTAATCCAAGGGTATCCTAGTAGCGAACAGGGTCGACTTAGTCCTTGCCGAAGAGCAGGGCGTTCTCTTCCTGCGCCTTTTCAAAAGCTTCTTTGAAGAGAGCGGCGTCTAACACGGAAGATTAGCGTCTTATCCCAGGGTAAACGTGACAGAAACAAGGAAGTAGAAGTGGAAACTTACTCTCGCTGTTGGCAAAGCGAATAGCCAGGGTCTGGGCCTCTGGCTCGCCCTCGCTGACATCTGCAGCGGCGTTCCACACCCAGCTTCGATCACTGCCAACGTTTGGCGACAGCTTCATGTCAGGCACGACTAAGAGTTGATTATTAGCATGTGTTCAGTATAGCCTAACGTAATAGTCAAAAGGGCCGTACCGTAGTGGTTGGCGCAGACCTTGAGGGTCTTGTCTCTTCGCATGAGCAGTCGGGTCTTGTGGTTCTCCTTGTGCTTCAACAGCTTGATGTCACCGGTTCCACGCTCCTTCCACTCCTTGGACTCCCGGTCAAATCTGAAAAGTTTGGCACGCATCTTGAAGGTCTGCTCCTCCAGCTCCTCGTTGGTCTTGATCTCGACCTTCTCAGTCAGGCGGATGACTGGCTCGAAGTGTACGTCCGGCTCAGCCTCTGGGTCCTTCAGGGGGACGATAGTATTAGCATAGCAACTGACAGCAGGCAAGCCACGGCCATCAACTCACCTCATCATCGCCCTCGGTCTTCTTCTTGGAGGAACCGGATGGCTCGTCAGCGTCATCTTCCTGCTCCTTTTTCTCCTTTGGTGGGCCGCCGCCAAACATGGAGAAGACGGAGTCGGTCGTGGTAGGTTTGCTCTCCTCTGCAGCAGCCGGCTTATCCGCCTTCTCGCCCTCTGCCTCGGCCTTCTTCGACTCGTCCTCGCCTGCCTTTTCGGTTGCGGCGGTCTCTTCTTTCTTGTCTTCAGTCACGGCCTCTGGAGGGGCAGCGGTGGTGGGGTCGGGCTTTTGCTCGTCTGCCATGGTGGGCGGGCTCGGTGCTGGGAGGACGGGTGGTTGTGTAGATCAAGACAGGGCCGGGACGGACGATATATCGCTGTCGCTAAGGAAAAGCAGAAAGCAGGAGATGCTGGAGTCGTAGATGTTGCAGGTCTTCTTCTTCTTCTTGTTGTTGTTGTTGTCCACGCAGAGCAAGCGAGAGGAAAGGGAGAAAAAAAAAAAAAGAGACTTGAAGGTGGGCGCTTCGACAAGGTTCAGTTTGGGACTAGCGCAACTCTCGTTCCTTTTGCCCCTGGACGGGCTCGATCGAAGATGCACAGCAGGCGCTGGGAGGCGTTGGCTAGCTAGTTGTTAACTCAGCGACTAGTTGGAGAAGAGACTGGCTGTGGTACGGGCAGCTGGGTGACAGCTGCATGGCGGGTGGGCTTGTCCGACTCGCTAACTAGTTGGGATGGGCGAGATGCCCGATGTACAGGTAGTTTTGATATGGACAGTCATTAACTAGGTAGGTAGGTAGCTGGTTTTATTGATACATTATTTCCCCGTTTCTCACTCCTTTATTCTTCTTCCCTAAGAAGCCAGTTCCTCCCTTCTGGTTGATATTAAATTATTGCCAGAGCGTGCGGAAGACGGCTAATGTCCTTGAATGCATATTGACACGAATCAAGTGGAAGCCGCAAAGTTTTTTCGGAGGTCTCGGAACTTGGCCTTCAAGTCGAAACTAAAGGCAGGAGCTCGAAGCTGCTGTGCTCTCTCCTGCGCGGCTGACATCATGGAGGAGGCGGATTTCCGGGCCTTTCGACGCATAAGCCGTGCTTCTGCCTTTAGCTGATCAGACGATTGGCGTAGGGATTCCTTCGTCTTGTTGAAGAACCCATCTGAGGCCTCCTTGGACCTGGCTACGGATGTTTTTGCACGGCTAACAGCACGGTCAAAGATACTGCTGATGCGGTTGTTTGTTGCGTCAGCAGAGGTTTTGTTGGTGTACATCCCCCAGGCATTATACATGCTCCTAAAGTCAAAGGTGAGTTTGATGTATACTTTTGAGAGTCCAGTCTGGGCGTCGGCCAGGTCTCCACGGAGCGTCTGAGACAGAGACTGGGTAGCTCTCTTCCAGCTAGCGATTTTCAACCATGGGGTGCCAAAGTCAACGCCGGTGACCTTGGTCAATTTTGGCTTTGACAGTGCAGAAACGGTAATGTTCATGGGACCATAAGCATCCTCGGGGGCAAGTCGAAGGGTGAAGACGCCGTCGAACAGCTTATAGAGGTCAAATGGGAGGCCGTTGTTCTCTCGAGTCACTTTGATATCAAACTTGTTTCCATCTCTCACTGATACGAGGCGGTTGGGTAACCGGACAACCATATGGTGGTCGCCGACGACATGGACCTGGACATCGTCTGATTCACTCATGCCCTGAGCTTTGGCACAGGTTAGCTGCGTGATGAAGTCGTCCATATTCTGCGGGACACGGGAATGTGATTCAAAGTACTGTACTCCCTCTGGAGAAGTCGAAACGACCGGAGTCTTCGCACATATGACCGGTGTAGCAACGGGGGTGATAATAGTTTGAACTCTTCCTGTGACTGCACCCTCCTGGACCTGGGTAGATATCCCCAGACAGGTATCAATGTATGGAAACGTGAGGGCCGTAGCGACAAGGGACAAGATTACTAGCACAAGTACATGGAAAAGGTCAGGATATTCCTCCATGAGCTGTGCAAGCTTATTGCTAAACCCTTGAGAACGTGGAAGTTTCTGTTTTCCTTCTTTCTTTTTGGGCTTCTCCTGACCAGGTACAGCACCCGGCTGCGTGTATCCAGGCCGGGATCGAGACAGGGCTGAAATCATCTCGTTTTGCTGTGTTATGGTCTCGATAGCTCTCCTCAAGACATCTGCATGCGCCGGGGCCAGATGAGATGGTGTATTCTGTGGAGAAGTATTAGCTGGGGCCTCTCTGCTTCTCACCCCGGACATCTCCTCATTGGTTTCATGGTCATCATAGCTTTCAGGTTCGTCAAAGATATGAGTGGCATCAGAGCACGGGTGAGGGCGAGAGACTCTGTCGTGGTTGTTCTGTTGCTCTACGCGGTCAAACTGTGCCGGGTTTGAAGTTGATTCGGGCCAGTCAACACCACGAGACTGTACGTAGTTTCTCTCGTCTTCAGATTCTTCTTCAGGTGCTTCTTCTCCTTCTTCGGATTCTTCGGATTCATCTTCATATTCATCATGGTCATATACTTCTTGGTCATATTCGTGATCAACGGAGTGTGCTGGGGTAGAGCCCCAGCCCGAGGGAGTGGCAACGCTGCTCCCATCTTCATCCTCGTACTCATCCTCGATATCCTCGAATTCTTCATCGTCAGTGTTGGTGAGAGGTGGAGTCAGGAGAGATGGCGTCTCGGAGGTGCTGCTAATGCCATCAACGACGCTGTAGCTTTGGTCTCCATCGCTTGTCGCCGCCTCGCTGCCGTCATAGGTTGCCATGTCACTGGCGTGGCCCGAGTGTGAAGGCAGGTGAGGATGAGCACTGTTTCTATTGAGACTACGGGGGAAGAGGTCCTCGACAAGTGCCCATGTTTCTGGGGTCATGTCCTTTGGTCGCTGATTTTCCTCCTCCATCGCGGGTCCTGACGTCATCGCTTCAGCAGTCGAAACGGCGCCGTTAGTTATGGGGAATGGAGGCACTGCGGGCTAGCCCAGAAGAAGCAGGGGCTAGAGAAGCTGGTATTAGGGGTGTGTAGAGATGTATGTAGCGATGGGGACAGGCAGGGGGAAGAAGTGCAAAGACAAGAGAGGCGAGTTGAGGGCAAGGCGAGTAGCTAGTTAATATTATGCTGAACGGGTGGTGGTGGTGGTGGTAGTTATGCGGAGACAGCCGGCTAAGTAGTTAGTTATAGCGCTGTCATATGTATCTAGTTCTCGAAACACGCAAGAGACCTTTTGATTGTCAGAGCACGTCGGTCTCTTGGACGCGATTTCGAGCAGCTGTAGGTATGAGTTGTGCGCAGGGATGAGCTGTCGACGTAGGCGTTTGACAGAGCCAGGCGCGGGGGGTTATATGTGTGCGTGTGTGCGATGGCAAAAGTTGCCGCTGAGTTGTGGTTCACCAGAGGGTCAGCCACGTCGTCAGCTGCTGAGGAGCTGCTGGTGCTCCCGGGGGCCGTCTCTTGTGCTCTTTATTTTACAGGCAGATGGAAATGATGATGGTGGTTGGTTTGATGCTGGGTGGTTGAGGCGGAGTGCAGGATGTCGGGGATGATGGAGGAGGAGGAGGAGGAGGAGGAGGAGGAGGATGGTGGTGGTGAAACCGACGAGAAGACGACGGGAGAAGCAGAAGATGTCGTCAGACCAGCGTCAACAGCCCTAAATAATACTAATAAGCTCGAGAGAAGTCCTAGATGACGTTGCGGGTGGGAGTTCGCCGTCGCCGGGCTGCTTCATGGGAGGCCTTTGGACGGCGTTGCAAACTGCAGGCTGGCTGCGGTAGAGAACTAACTACGATGCTGCGGCTCTTTTATACATGCTACGGAGAAGGGCCTGTCCCTGCAGATCGGAGTCCAACTTGCATCTAGACTTACTCCGTATAAGGGTTCTATTTACAGCCGATGCAGTGGACAAGTATCCATCAGCCCACAAAACAGGCTTCGGATCTATAGTTAACTGACCAGCTGCTGCGTGTCCGGGCAAGCAGCTGTCCCTATAACTACTTGATAGCTCTCCTGCCCTGACTTGCTGCCAATCAATTCCCCCCGAGCACTATCCAGCATGAAGCATGCAGACTCTTCCTTGGACAATGAAGAAAAGGACATGCTATCGGTAGCCTGGATTTGTCAAGCTTCTGGCAAACAGAAATTGCCTCCTGATGGAAACTCTACCTAGCATGACGCAGATGGCCGGCCTGTCAAAATTGCATGCATACTCTCTCTCTCTCTTCAAACAATGCATTTTGGTCTCCAAATTCATCTGGGTATAAATTGTCTGCCTGCTGGATGGCCAACTGCGCTTGCATAGCTGGAATTTCCGCAGTAAAAGCAAGTGGCATTGCAAGCTTCTCCGGTTCTATGCATATTATCAGCAAAAGCCCTACTAGACCAACAAAAGCGCACGGCGATATCTTGAACTGATTCCATTATTCATGAGCTTTGTAAGTTTTCAATTACGAGGATAGGGTATGTTGGATAAAAATGAGGCGGAGATTTTGTATCCCTTGACAATGGGTGGAAATAGAGATGACAGGCAAGCGAGGAGGAACAGGAGCAGCAGCAACAACAACAACAGAAGGGAAGCTGTTTAAAAGCAATTTACAAAAAGGTGGAGACATGCGAGATAAGACAGTCAGAGAGGGAGAAGAAGAATGCGGATTTAAAAGTGGGACAAGATTTTATATAGGAGTTGGGAGCAGGAAACTGACAAGACGAAGAAGGGATTTGGGGGATGAGGATGATGAAGGTAATGACTCGATTCAGTTGATTGCAAACAATGTTTCTTTCCTTCTCTCTTATTAGTATATCCGAATGGGCTTCTGCAACAGGTGAACAGTGATGATAAAAAAAAAAAAAGAAAAGAAAAAAAAAAGAGGTAAGGCATCGAGCCAAAGAACTGTATTAAATGATAATTGTTGGTCGGCAGCAGAACGCAAAGCTGCGAGGCCCTTCTTCTATCTCATGTCATGGGAAAGGGAATGGAACGGAACGGTTTCAAAGTTTTCGAGCACTGTAATCCTCCCCGAGATACAGTTACCGGGGGAAGATATAAGATGGAATGACGAAGGAAAAAAGGGGACGGAATTTCGAAGTTGGCTTGATGATATAAAAAAAAAAAAAAAAAAAAGGGAGGATGAGTAGGGGAGGACAAGTCATGATATATCTTCGTGGCACGGCGTTGCGGACCCGATGGTGTAGGTGTGTGCAAAAGGGTATAGCCAATGTCGCGCCGGCAGAGAGAAAACAGAAAAGAAAAAACGGGGAAAAAATAGAGAAAGAAGCAAGGGAAGGTGGTCGTTGCGTAGTGGTTGATGATCTACGGCGACGCCCATCCTCCTGCGACTTTAACCCAATCCGCTAGACAACTGCCATGCTTGCCTTCCACGTCGACGATGTCGGTATCACAGCGACATCGGCAGCCAACGCCGTTCTCCTTGGGTGGATCTGGAGAGTCCCAGTATTCGTCCTCTTCTTGGCGGAGCTTCGGGTCCAGAGTGGTTTGTTCGAGATATGGATCTCGAACGCGTTGTCTGGCTGGAGCATTGGCGGGGCAGTGCTGGATGGTGGTGTGACGATATCCAAAATCTCTGAAGTAGTGAATGTCGGCTGGAGATAGAAGTGCGCCGGCAGCAAGAGAGTGGATAGGCGCATCTCCCCACTGATGAAGAAAGGGTTTCGTTAGCACCTGTAGCAAGAAATTCATATATATAGAAGATGGGTAGACAAAGACGTACTCGTTCATTCCAAAAGCCACCACTCCTATCCATCATCGTGAAGAAGTCTTCGTAAGCCTTGCTACGGAAGAAATCCAACCGTGCGATCTCGAAGTTACTCCAGAAATGGCACATATTATACGTCTCGCCTTCCATTGCTTCAGGATCAACGTCTTTGAGGCCGGCAGCACCGGGCTGGGTCTGTAGAATCTCGTCTGGGAGAGCATTGTTCTCTTCTGCCGGTTTTTCCTCCTCGACAGGGTCCTCGAGAAACATTTCCCATAAACCTTGGGAAGTGATGTTGTTCGTTCGTTTGTAGGCAGACGCATAGCGGAAGATATTCGGCACGGTCTCTTTAAGTTCCTTGACGGCAATTGTGAAGCCATACGTCTTGTTGTTCTTAGCCATCTCCAGGAAAGGGTCACTGAATGAAGGTCAGCTAATTGTCTAAACGAGAGGGATCCAGGGCAACGAACTAGGTGATATCGCAGAAGTATTTGATCTCTGGCTCCAGGCGCCAGTACCACTCATACTTCATTAGCAGCTCATGTTTATAGAAGAACCTAGACAGATGTTAGTATCCAGGGAAGTATGGGTGTAAGACAAGACGACGACGAACCCAGAGTAGAATCGACACATGTGGTGATAGCTCTCCATTCCTCCGTACATGATAGCAGCGTCTCCCTGTTTGCGGATACCCTCTTTGGCTACCTCAGCATCGGTCCAGTCAGGGTATCCCCACATTGACGAGTCGATCTTGCCAAACTCCACGCTGGATTTGGTGTAATTGGTGACGGTATCCTTGAAGTTATCATCGAAGTCTCCATCGTTCAAGAATACATACGGGTAGTTGTAGTATCGGTTGAAGTGGCGCTCGATCGACTTCATAGACTGGATTACACCCTCCAGCTCCTTGTTTCTGGCTAGGACGACGAAGGCGGCGTTTGCTCTAGGCTGGCTGGTGTCGATTTCTCTGCAGCCTACTTCAAACACTTTATCATATTTCTCGCTGATTTTTCTGATTTCCGGGAGCATAGCCGTCAGTATACAATTCGTATAAAAATTAAATGTAGCTTACGTGTTAAGGAGAACATACCGTATAGAAGGAGGAGTACCAGTGGGCATCAGCATCCCACCGGGAGAAGAAGGATGAGTAACGAAGAGGAGGACAATAAGGATTATTACAATGCATGGAAATAGTAAAACAAGGCCCAGAGGGATCGAAATAGAAGAGTTCCTCCGTAGTCGTATACGGCGTTTAAAAAAAGCGAATCTCGATATTATCGTCCCCTTTTCATTGGTAAGACTGCCATCTAGCGGCGAAGGGGAAAGCATGCCGGGCACACTCTTCGTGAGTCGCTTCATAATCCCCATGATGGCGACGGGTGTGTGTATATCAGCGCAGAATTGAGGCAGGTTCTTTTCTTTCTTTTTTTTTTTTTTTTCCCTTCCTTTGCTGTTGCTGTGTCTTTGTTGCTTCTTGTTTGAAGAAAAGGAGCCGAATTCGACGCAGCAAAGCTCGAGGACGTCTCAGAGCTTGCAGTCTAAAAAGGAGAAAGACGCTGCAGACAGCGAGGGAGTTCAAAAACGAGCGACGGGGTCAGAGTAATGTGTTGGTTGTTGGCTTGGAGTCGACGAGACTGGCCGCGGATGGCGAACGGTGACGAAGCACGATGGGGATGGGCGGACGGCAGACGGGGGGGGATCCGACTAACGCAGAGCCATCGAGAGCATGAGAAACCGCAGACGAGACAGGAAGACAGTCGACGACGCTCTTCTTCTTCTTCTTCGTCGTCCTCGCAGGCTTCGCTGGGCTGGTGGTTGTTTCTGCTTGTCTTTTCTGTCTTTTCCTCGTCTTCGAAAGCGAAAAGAAAGTTGAAAGAGAGGAAACACGCCAAGACTTCCTGACCAACCGGGAAAAAAAAAGGGAGAGAAAAGAAAAAATAAAATAAAAAGCAGTCAAGCCGAAGCAGAGGTTTGAATATCGCCAGTAGGACAGCAAGCAGGCGAGGTGGATGGCTGTTACGGGCACTGATGGACTCGCAGGAAGCGCCGCTCTGCTGCTGCAAAGGAATCAGCCTTGCAGGCGCTGGCGATGGCGGGCGGAGGGCAGATATCAAAAACGCACAAGGCGAAGCCCCTGAAGGATCCTGCGGGCGGTTGAGTTGACTGAAGACTGAGCCAGCGTATCAGAAGGCCCTGAGTGTCTCTTGGTAATAATATGATGTTAAGCCTCTTCTTCCTCGCTGCTTCTCTCGTATCCCGCCGTCTAGCTAGCGCTCTCGCTCTGCTCGTTGGAGGGCCGGGGGAGCGGACCTGAAACTGTTCGAGGCCACTGCCTGTGGACCTGGAGAAGAGACGCCCTTCTCCTGCTTCACAGGGGCCATAAATAACTACGTGAGATAGATGAATGGCAATAATGGCATTTAAAGGACCTCTGCAGTTCCCCCTGAATCCCGTCAAGTTGAGGACTCTCCTCTTCTAAAGACCGAGGGGTGGCGTCTTCTATAATCCTACTTGATATCGCCTTTTTTTTTTTCTATTTTCCTTGCCTAGGTAGTTTTTTTTACGAGATGACATTGCACCTACAACTCCCAGCAGTGGAAGATCGATCGACTGCGATGGATGCGATCGCCGCAGAGGGACACACAGAGAGAGCTGGAGTCCGTCGGAGCCAGATACTGGATGCCTTTTCGCCGGTCAACGAGAACGGGAGCTTCGAGTTCGACCGGGTGCTGAAGCGAGGCAAGGTGCTGCGGCGGTCGAAGAGCAAGCATGTACGCTTTACCACTCATTGAGATACGCCATCGTCGGCTGGCTGATCGATCGATTGAACTGGCTGGCTGGCTGGTGGACTGACTGACTGACTGACCGTTTGTGCGAGTAGGCGTTCAAGTCGTCGTGGAAGCCTGGATACCTCGTTCTGCGGCCGAACCTGCTCTCGCTATACAAAGACAAGGAAGAGGCCCAGCTGCAGCTCGCCCTCTCCCTCTCCGACGTCTCGGCCGTTGCCCACGTCAAGTCAACGCCTAGGTCGAACAGGCCGAATGTTTTTGGCGTCTTCTCACCCTCGAAGAACTACCGCTTCCAGGCTACGTCGACAGAGGAGGCGGATTCATGGGTTGAGCAGCTGCACCGTGAGTGCTCGGTCGACTATCCAGACTCGGTCGTAAACTACTACGAGCAGATACACGGCCGGAAGCAGACCATCGCAGAGGCAGATGAGAGTGCGGCTGAAATGTCCGAGGTTGAAGGCAGAGGAGCCACGGCGGCTCTGGGACGAACTCCTTCTCTCCTGACGGCACCCGCACAACCTGGTCGAGTGAAGCGCCGAACTACCCAGGACTATTCAGGCAATGAAATCACCTCTTGCTCCGAATTCTCTGATGCTGCCGGTCAGTCTTTGCCTTCTTCGAGGTCTCAACCAGCGCTCAACCGGAAATCCTGCTCTCACAGAGACAATCAACAGCCACCGCAACAGCAACATCAACAAAGTCTACGGCGCCTGGCCAGTGGCCAAAGTGAAGCTGCTCCTAGCCAGCCAGACCCAGAGGGCGTCATATTCCAGGGTTATCTGCAATGTTTGAAGGGCCGGAAGGGCGTCCGCAAATGGAAAAAGCTATGGACGGTTCTTCGAGTCCAGAGCCTCTCCTTCTACAAGGACCAACACGAATACTCGGCTGTCAAGATCATACCAATGACCGAAGTCATCAATGCGGCAGAGGTTGACCCCCTCTCAAGGTCAAAGATATTCTGTTTTCAGCTTATCACCGAAGACGTCACCTATCGTTTCTGCGCCTACGACGAAGAGTCAGTCGACAAGTGGCTCGGCTCGGTCAAAAGCGTGCTGATGAGACTGCAAGACTCGTCCATGTACCCTTCAACAGGAGCTCTGAGCGGTTCTTTGAACACTCGTTGCTAAAACCAAAGCTCTCTTAATTCTAATTTTCTGCAGCCGCGCTCCTCAAACTAAACCCCCCCCCCCCCCCCCTTCCCTTTTTTTGGAGCATATCCCTACTTATAATGTTAATACCCTTCTGCATCCCACATTCCAAGCGACCAGCAGGCCTAAAGTCAATGCATTAACCATGCATATCTGATTATTCTACACATCAACGCCATCTGTATATTCTTTCTTTTCGCTCTTTCTTTTCCGCCTTTCCCCCTTTTTGCCTCCTCTTGGACTACTAATGAAATGCGAGGCTGCTGCAGATGCATTCTCTCCCTCAAAACACCATCTTCTATCCCTTTCATTTGTCTCGCGTTTGATCGACTCAACCCGGACGACACTTTCTGGACATACTACCCTGTCGAGCTGGGGCCATTTCCTGGCTGTTATTGGCCATGTCTCTTTAAACAAATTAATTTATTTAATATCTACCTTGACGATGGAGATTTGTCCTGTCCCTATCATATATACTACTACACACGATCCCATCTCATCCCAAGGGCCAATCAATCAACATAGGTGCAATCCACCTTTCATCTGCCAATTAAACCGAGTCTTACAACGCCCAGCTATTGCCACAACTTGGAAGCCTGTCCCCTGCTATCGATTTTTTCCTTCGCCTTTCTAGACTTTCCATGCGTAGAATTAAGGTGTGGTCGATTACGAAGATACTTTCTTAGTAAGCTTAAGCTTTTCAGCCTCATCAGCCCTCGTGACTAAGGTCCCGTGACATCGTTATCCGCCGCGCTTTTCTGACAATAAAGAAAGCGGAAGAAGAAGGAGAAGCAAAGGGAAGCAAATACAGCCAGGCTTCACGGGTTTGACGTGAAGATATCATTAACATACCTTTCGCTCTTTATAAATATCCTCTATTCATTGATTTCTCCTTCGCACGCCTATTATTTAACCACCCACATTCTTTACTTCACACTGAATAAGCCGCGAGGGCAACAGGGTCTGCCTGCAGCCTTGTGACCGACGATGGGTTTTTTCGACCACCTTCAGAAGAAAGGGACAGGTGTGATACAGGCCCAAAAGGCTCAGATACGCAGAGTCGAATGCAAGCCGCCCATCGTCCGGTCTTCATCGGCCCCATCACACCCCGTGAAACCCCCCTCCGAGCGCGCGCACTCCGAATCATCCGCCAAACGTATCGTCACCTCTCCACGGAAATCGACCTTATCCGACTCTACCGGAACTGTGAAGAAGAAGGTTGCTGTTGCTAGCAAGTCCGATCATCTGGCCGTTAACCCGCCCCGTTCAAGATCCGTGTCCCGCAAGCGATCGTCCCCCGCAGTCCAACAACTCCTTAGCAGTAGCGATGGCAGCGAGACCGACGAGTCTCTGGATATCCGGTTATCGAAAAGGACCAAGGTGAGCGCTAGCGCGGAGCCAGATTTAAAACGCCAGTTACGCTCCGAGATTGCGTTTTCTGAGACTGCCGAACACTCATTCCCGATGGTCCATGCCATGGACATAGCATCCATCGAGAAGAAGACGCCGGGATTCAGCAGTGCTTTTAAAGAGCCCAGCGGGTGCACAACAATAGCTCTTCAGTATCCCACATACTCGCAGAGGGAGAGGTACCAGCTGGTCATACCGCGAGAAAACGATGGGTTCAAGCCGTTGGAAGATATTGTGCAGGTGGTCGAAACTGTATCACACAACTATATCCCCGAGGACCAGATATCTGCTTTCACCGATGACTCCACCGGCTATATCCGTCTTTTGCGGCGTGCCATCAAACAGGAATCGCCAAAGGACTTTTGGAATGCGGTGAAGGCGTATAATGAAACCATCAGACGGCTCCGGGACGAAGGCGTTATTGCCAAACACCTTGATGCGATGCATTCACTCTCGCTGCCGTGGGTTGAGAGAATTCTAACCCAGGTGTATAGCCGAACTGTCTCTCTGCGTGTGGAATCACTCAAGAAGTACGAAAGCGGAACTGATAACGTCTATGGAGAGCTTCTACCCCGCTTTATCTCAGATATATTCCAAAAGACGCATTTAAAATCTGACCAGGTATTCGTTGATCTGGGTTCCGGTGTGGGCAACGTTGTCCTCCAGGCCGCCCTGGAGGTTGGTTGTGAGAGCTGGGGTTGTGAGATGATGCAAAATGCCTGCGACTTGGCTCGTCTGCAGCAGGCTGAATTCAAAGCTAGATGCCGTTTATGGGGCCTGTCATCGGGAAAAGTACATTTAGTCCAGGGTGACTTCTTGGACAACGAACGCATAGCTAAGGCTCTACGGCGGGCTGACGTCGTTCTCATCAATAATCAGGCTTTCACCCCGGAAACGAACAACAGGATAATCAATCTTTTGCTGGACCTGAAAGAAGGCTGCCAGATTGTATCACTCAAATCCTTTGTTCCGACAGGACACAAGATGCAAGCCCGAAACCTCAACTCACCTATTAACCTGCTTTCAGTTGAGAGACATAATTATTGGTCTGACTCTGTTAGCTGGACCAATGCTGGGGGCACCTATTTCATTGCAAAAAAGGATAGCTCCAGACTGCGAGCCTTTTCAGACTCTCTTTATAACTGAGTGATCCTACGCTCTTCTCTTTTCTTTCTTCTTTTTTGAATGCAACGACCTAGACAGCTACTTCGTTTATATCCCTTTCGAAACGTTGTTGGCGATTATAGATGGAGATTGCCGCAATTAGACGTTTTGGTTCCCCTGCTTTTTTTTTTTTTGGCCACCTTCCAGAGCTCTCGCGAGCCATGCATACCCCGTTATTTTTTCCTTTCCCTATAGATTGGTCATTATAAATTTGTCGAAGTGTTGTTAAACTCACTTCTTTCTCTGGACAACACTCGTTGGATTGGCGGTACTTTGGCGGTTTATACCCGGACGGCTGGAATGGTTGGGTTCGGGTGTGTGTTATCGTTTGAGCAAGCTTTACAGTGACAGGTGATTTGGCGCTTTTCGTATTTAGAGAACTTTGTGGTTATTAGACAAAGAAATTGAAAATCAATGTACATTTAGTATCCTATTTATTTAATTTATCTAAGACTGCATAATCGAGGCTGTACCACCTATCGACAAGCTGTTCTATCCTTCTTCCTCGGGGCGTACAAATCTAAATTATGAAAACCTGGATGCTTTGTTCATTGCTTCAGCTTCCTGTCCCATTCTTGCCATCCATCTATCTACGAGCTGTTGATTCTCTTCTTCAAACCTCTTAGCCCGCTCTTCGGCCATGTTAAATTGTAGATTTAGTGATACAAGCTCATCTTGGACATCCTATAACCTTGTAAGTTAGTGTTTCTATCAAAATAAAGGTATCAAGTCGGAACGAACGTCAAGTAGCTTAGCCTTCCCCCTTAATTCCTCGTCCCTATCCCTTAGACGGATCTGTAGCTGTGTTCTTTCTACGGCCAAATCCGCTACCCTCTGTGACTCTGTATTCAATTTTCTTAAGAGTGTATCTACCTTCCCCGTGGCTTGCTCAAGTTTATTTGAGAGTTCTTCCCGTGCCTTTTGTGCAGCAGCCAAATCTTGATTCGCAGTAAGCAGGGGATCTAGCCCTGATAGAACAGCAGGGCTATCATGCGGGCTCTGGTATTTTTTGTCTTGGGGGGTATCATTCTCTTTGGACCCTGAAAGGTTTTGGGCATATCGAACGGCTTCAGCTCGTTCCTTTTCCAGGCTGCCTGAGCGATCAGCTAAGCGGGTATCTAGGCAGTCATTTAGTAAACAAGCATAGACAAGGTTATGGCGAAATGTGATGGAAGGACATACAGGCCTCCAGAACGGAAACATATGCCTTTTCTCGCTGGTCCCTGGTACGCAAGGCTGCAGAGTAGTCCTGCCTCCAGCTTGACATACTGACCGTGCAACTTGGCCGAGACAAGCTTGTACCTGAGGGTGAAGATCACTATGTATAGGGACAGTGATGGAGAGAGAGCAGGGACTATTGGGTCAGAAGCCCAAGAAATTGTAAGGCAGTAATGAGGTGGACTAAGTGGGTACGGCGGACTATTTGTGCCATCGGGCCAAAATTCGGGTTTCAACCAACCTTGGAACTTACATATATAAAAACAAGCAGAGAGGGTGGTATTCTAATTACGTAATTATAAAAAACGAGATATTATTGGATAAGGTGGGAGACAACGGGGAACCGGAGCCTTCCGATGCAGGCAGCTATAGGCACCTAAGCGGTCTCTATATTCCCTGCAGCGTTGCTTCTGAAGGAACACTCGAAGCGCTCTGCAGCCTAACGCGTTCTATGTGACAGGGCCATATCATCCTCTGCTGCAGAGAGGCCTGTCACCCGTAGCGTGTCTATCTCCCAACCTGCATGACATCGCGGTAACTTGCGGCTAAGAAGCGGTGGGTCTTGGCACTGCTACTACTGTAAAATGAGCCTCTAACTACTCCGTACTCCGTATGTAACTAACACTCGCAGGGCAAGCAGTTTGCAAACAGGCGGCTGTCGATATTAACCAGGAGTGCCTGTTACTGTTTACGTCTTGATTCTCCCAAGGTAAGTCCATAATGTCCTGTTGCAGTATCTAGTTTCTTCTGTTGTCTCAGAGTGTTCCAGTCAATAGCCGTAGCATGTTCCCCTTTACAAAGCAATCAAAGCTCTGGATAGCCATGTCTCCATCGTCGTGCATTCCTGTCTCTGCCTGCATGATTCCCATCTCCTCTTTTCATCCTTTTTATACGCGGACCGGTTGTGTCCATCATGTGATGCTACCAGGGGAAAATAAGGGTCACGGTCTTGGCGCCCGTGTTATGATGTTATGCAACTTCAACTTTCGCTGGAAGCTCCAAAACACCAAATAACGACCCTCTTCACCCCCTCATCGCCCGCAGAGAGCTCTGGTTATACAGATATAGCCAGAGTAAAGCTGTACAGTGTACACAGTGCCCTATACTCACCGACGGATACCGCAGAACGACTCTTTCGCAACCCGGCTCTGCGTGGTGTTCCCTGACGGCGCCCTCCCGCTCTTCGACCGACTTCCTGGCAACCTGAGCTTGCCTTTGCTGTCATACATACTACCCTGCAGCCATGGCGTCCCGCAAGAAGGTTCTATTGAAGGTGGGCTACTTGCAATAAATGCAAAAAACGGCCTCTCTGTCTGATGGAAGATGGGTCACTGATGCTTTTCTTTAAATACAGGTTATCATCCTTGGTGATAGCGGTGTGGGCAAAACGAGCTTGATGAACCAATATGTTAGTGGCTCTGTCATCCTAAACTGAGCTATACTGCTCCTTGGGAGAATTGCCCTGCTAATATTTCTTCCTTGATGGCTAGGTCAACAAAAAATACAGTGCCAGCTACAAAGCCACCATCGGAGCTGACTACCTTACCAAGGAAGTCATGGTAGATGGACGACTGGTCACGATGCAGGTACATACTGGACCTTACACCAAACATCGCTTGGGTATACAATAAACTAAATGTTTCATCCAGATATGGGATACTGCGGGGCAAGAGAGATTCCAGTCGCTGGGAGTTGCCTTCTACCGAGGCGCCGATTGCTGTGTCCTTGTATACGACGTCAATAACTCAAAGAGTTTCGAGACTTTGGATAGTTGGAGAGATGAGTTCCTCATTCAAGCCAACTTGAGAGATCCCGAAAGCTTTCCCTTTGTGAGCAGCATATCTTCACTTTTACTACTTGAACCTGAGAAAAACTAATGCAAAGTATAGGTTGTGCTCGGGAACAAGATTGATGTCGAAGAGAGCAAAAGAATGATATCCTCGAAGAGAGCCTCTACATACTGTCAGTCGAAGGGCAATATTCCCTACTTCGAAACCAGTGCCAAGGAGGCTATTAATGTAGAGCAAGCGTTCGAAGGTCGGTCTTTTAACACCTCTTTAACGCCTTTAAAGCGATATACTAATATGTTTATGAACAACAGTGATTGCTAAGAGTGCTCTCATGCAAGAAGAGTCTGAGGAGTTCAACGGGGACTTCGATGACGTTATCAACGTCAACCACGACAGCGATCGAGATGCCTGTGCCTGTTAATGACAACCTTCGACTGATCCTTTTAGAACCCCCTCCTTCACTTAATTATCACGGGACTTTCTTTTCGGCGTTTACATCACACTCCGTTTAATATCACAACCTTTTGCCCTCTCGTCTGGGATATAGGATATTGACCCTTGCATATTACTATTTCCTTGCCGAATTTTCACTTTGCCAGAGTCATCATTCAGGGAGACGGCCCATTGCGCGTTCAATGAAGTTCAGCTGTACTGAATTCAGATGCCATCCCTATTTCTTGCACTCGGTTTTCCTTTAATACAGGAGTGTATATATATAGCCATTTGACCTATATTATCCCTTCTCCCAGCAGCTGTTATCTATTTGGACTACTACATGATTTTCCTTCTGTTATTTGCCTTGACACAGCGTCCTTTCTATACTTCGCTGCACCCTTCACTCTGGCATAACTAAAATCGGTAGACCAGCGGCAAGGCCGGAGCGTTACACCAAAGCATACGGTAGCCAGCCACAGAAAGTAGGACGGGAACACTGGGGAAGAGCCTCTGTCCTTCGTTTACCCTTCACTTTTTTACATGTATTACTCGGTCTGTATATGAAATATCCATGTCAACCTGTCTTTAGTAAATATGGTGGCTGGTCACGATGTCTCTGGCGGCGCTGATAGCGCCAACCAGCGATACGAGCACCAAGGGCCATCCAACAACCGTCGACCACACCCAACATCGACCACTGCCCTCTTGGACGGAGATCAAGGTAGCCCGATGGCCCCAACCAGCATGGGCAGACGCGGTCGGCGGACCCTGGGCACTTTTCTCCTCCTGATAGTCGTGGTGCTCTGGACGACATCGAACTTCCTTGCCAGCGTAGGTTCCCAACAGCTAAACGCTGCATATTCATGCCATCAATGATACAATAATAACGGTAGTTATGACTGCATGACTTGTAGTTATTTACTAATATCGACGCTGCATAATAATAACAGACTATATTCGCGGATAACACTTATTCCAAGCCATACCTGGTGACATATCTCAACAGCGGCTCCTTCGTCTTCATGCTGGTGCCCTTCGTTGGTGGGCGAATTCACAGGCTCTGGAAGACGGGAAAACTACAAGATATCAGATCATTTCAAGCACTAATTCGGGAGTTTGAGTGTCCTGCGTCGGGAGAAGAGACACAGCCAATTTTACGCTCCAATCAAGATGAAGGACTGCCACAAGAGACAATTGATACAGGTGCACAGGAGCAACATGCGACCACCGGAACCAAGCTGGGTTTCAAAGAAACAGCTAAGTTGAGCTTGGAGTTTTGCATAATATGGGTAAGCAGGACCTTCTGGATTGTTTTCTGCTAATAGGTGCTAACTCATGTGAAGTTTGCGGTAAGATACGTCTATACACTGGTGTTCAAAAAATAGTTATATCTCTTAGGAAGCATGTTAGTCTAACTACGAGCTCAAAGGCAAACTACTTTGCCATGGCATGTCTTCAGTACACAAGTGTTGCTAGTACCACTGTCTTGACTTCTACAAGTGGTAAGCCCTCCGTGGTGAAATAGAGAATATAGTTATTAACATTCTATTCTAGGTGTATGGACACTTATATTCGGAGCAATGATCAAGGTTGAGAAGTTCACACTCCGCAAATGTATCGGAGTTCTTACATCCCTCATCGGCATATTTTTAATATCTAGAGTGGATATCTCTAGCTCATCTGGCTCGAAGAATGGTACTTTCCCCAATAAGCCGGCCGGGGAAGTTATCCTTGGTAATTTCATGGCCGCATTTAGTGCTGTGTTATACGGAGTTTATACCACTTTGATGAAGAGACGGGTTGAAGACGAGTCACGAGTTGACATGCGCCTGTTTTTTGGTCTGGTCGGAGTTTTCGCTTCTATAATCCTCTGGCCTGGGTTCGTAGTATTGCATTATACTGGGGTCGAGCCATTTGCCCTTCCGCCAACCAAACTTGTCTTCTTGATCGTTTTGGTAAGTAAGCTACTGGCGTTAAAGGGAGAGCTGGGTTTTTATGCTGACTTCTGATAGGTTAATGCAATCATATCATTCGCATCTGATATATGTTGGGCATTTTCGCTATTGCTCACGAGTCCGGTTATCGTGACAATTGGACTGAGTCTCAACATTCCGTTATCGTTGCTTGGTCAAATTATTATCCAACACAAATATGCAACTGGAATGTATTGGTTCGGTGCTACCCTTGTATTTGTTTCCTTCATAGTTGTGAACTATGAAACCCCAGCTTGACGGGCGGTCGTTGCATTTAACATCGACTTGGTTATTTCGGTTTACTTCATGTTTATTTGGTGATTAAAATACCATTATTTCGGCAAGCATTACGCTGGTTGTTTAATAGCATAGCGATAGATATTTTTCGGGAATCTCTTTGCTGAAGGTTGAAGAATAGCAGGCATGTATTGGCGAATCTATTCTTCTCTCTATATAATTATATTTCATTTGCTCTTTTTCTTCGCCAATCTCTTTTCTGCTCTGATATCTTTTTTCATCCGAGCATCAACAATCTTGTAGCGTCCCTTGACTCCCCGAGGACGACCGGAAATGCCTTTATTCCCTCCTCTAGCTACCACAAGCTTGACGCTCTGCTTCGGCTTTTTCTTAGTGGCCTTGCTTATCATTTTCGCAATTGACTGGGCCTTATCTCTTTCACTGATGCCTTCATCCTCGGCCAACAGTGATGACTTCTTGCGTAGTTTTTCTAGTTTTTGAGCTTGTTTGAATTTCTTCCTGCTCTTGGCTTCACGGACCTTCTTGATCGGTCGGGCATTGATAGCACGCATCTTCTCTCGGATAGCTGCCGCTGCTGCGGCAGTTATCGGCCTTTGTATTTTCGAATGTTGATTCTCGTCATCGAGGAACCACTGCGGAAGACCGTCAACATCGCGGAATGAATATCTATGGAAACCATCGTCAACAAAGTCTTCAGTGGTTTTCTCGCCCCTGGCCATTTGATGGGCTAAAGCCATAGCTTCGGCTGTTATTATGTCGACATCTGTCATGACCAAGTTAGTAAATGTCTATTGTAAACTTAGAAATAAGTGGTTGGAGAAACCTACCAAGTTGCCCATTTTTCTTCCGTGGGTCATCGTTTAACTTGGGGTCGTCGTTGTCTTCGAAGGTTTCTGACTTGTCTAGCTCGACCTCCTGGTAACTGCAGTCACTAGATATAGATGGAGAGGGTGAAGCAGCTTTTCGTTTATTTTTAGTTGCCTCTTTATTAGTGACAGTAGATTGTTCCTTGGTCACACCATTTGTCTTTGTGGCGCCGGGGTCATCGCTTGCTTCTCCATCTTCAACGGCTCCAAGATCCCGGAATATATCTTGATCGAAAAACATAGCGGCCTTGTTGGAAAGACCGTTGACATGGTCTCCCACAGGTGCTATAGGGAATGTTTGAGGAGATTCATTGTCTGATTCCTCTCCTTCTCTCTCGTCAGAAAATCCTTCCCACGCCTCTGTTTCGTAATCCTTGCGAGACTTTTTGGCACGTAATTTGGCATCTCGATTGTCGCGTGCTTCTTGGTATTGGGAGTAAAGTTCATCAAGCTGACGCTCTAATCGGTCACCGTCTTCATCTGAATCCTCTTCACTGGAATCTTCTTCCTCTTCGCTACTGCTCTCTACCGCAGCCGCCATACTACTAGCAGATACCGAGCGCGCAGCGGGGAGTTTCTCTGCTGTCTGTAATCTGAACATTGCTCCCTCTCCCAGGGGACCAGCCTGCTCCATTCCTATTTCCTTGGGCGTCGTCATATTCATCTGCAATCTGACAATGTCCTTTCGTTTTCGCTCATTCTCTTTCCGCCGTTCTCGTTTGTTTTTGGAAGTCTCGCGCTCATGCATACGCCTAAGGTCTTCTTGGAGGGCAAGTTCCTCGTCCATGGGCTCTACTTCGGCAACCTCTTCGGTTTCTTCCTCATTTTTTGGCCCCTTTTTCACGGCTAGTCCAAATTTCTCGCGCACTTTGATCCTCCATCGCAAAAGTTGTCGGAAATCCTTTTTACCAAGAACCTTGAGATCCTCACAGCACATCCGTATTTCGTTGGTAGTCTCTGGTAATCGCTGCAGAGTTGCAAGTGCAAGATCCCCGCCCGGCGATTGCGTAAATGTGAGTTTGTTATACGAACCCAAAATTGATATTGGATCTGTGGTGTTTATGAACTCCGTGGCTGGTAATTCTTTGTGCTGGGTCCAGTCATTTTCTTCGTATCCATCTCTCTTTCTCTTCTTCTTTTCTGGATTGAAAACTTTTGCCTCATTGTTCGGGTTAGGATCTTGCAATTCTGCAAAGACATGCTTGGGGTCCAGGAACTTGGGGTCGATATGCTTGGGTGCTTTAAATCCGAGGCAGACAACGAAAATTTCGGCTGACACATTTCGAGAAGACGGTGGTTTGGTCGCTTCCACTGTGGTGAAGAGTTGTTTGAAAACCCAAAGAAGAGGATTGTAATCTTTCGATCTGAAAACCTTCGTGACAAAAGTTCCTCCGGGTACTAGGAATTCCGTTGCTAGCTTCAATGACTGTAAAACTAATTCCGCCTGGGAGAAAGCATCCTGAACCCAGGCAGTACCGACATTCGGCGCACCATCGTGAAGTACTGTGTCTGCCTTCCAAGTCTTGAAATGTTGTCGAATTGTGGCCCTGCACTTATCCGTTGTGATGTCGCTTTGGAACGTGATAACTTTAGGGATCGGCTTGATAGGGGAGAGATCAACGCCAACTATAAGGCTCTGCGATGGCATGCATTCGGCTGCAACTTGACACCACGACTAAAACATTCAGAAGATGGCGTTAGGATGTCATCGGACTTTAAGCATACCAGTGGGATATGAAAGAAAGGTGGCATTGTCTTACACCTGGGGCTGCGCAAAGATCCAAAAGGACTTTACTCTTCTCGAGAAAGCCATATTTCTTGTTCAGCTGGATCAATTTGAAGGCAGCTCGCGCGCGGTATCCCTTCTCCTTTGCCAATCGATACCACTTATCTAAACGACCTTTTCCGTGCTGGGTGACCAGACAGTCAGCAACCTCCCATTCGCAGCACAAGAGAAGATAGCAGTGAATAACCTACCTTCTTCTGGATCGCCATGGTGCACTCTAATGGCCCGGCCCCGAGCACTCAACTTCTCCCTCCTGGATATATAAAAAAACGACAGTGTCTGGCTGTCTGCACGTATGTCTAGGTTCAGCACAGAAAAAAAAAAAAGCTCTGCAAAAGCAACTTTTCTGCCGAGCCTCACCGCCCTAATCAGTCCTTATCAGATTCTCTAACTATTATATAATCAATGACATCACGTTACTTGAGCTACTGACCACGACGAGGCGCATCGAAGCAACGAAAAAGAGACAACATATTGAACCTCTGCAAATACTACCTACGCACTTGGAGGGGCCTCTTCTTGACCAGGAGAACATGATAGACGCTTCTCTGGACCGCCAAACTGCGTGGTGATGCTCTATCATCGGCCTCGATGGCTCCCGCAGCGCGTGCCGCACGAGCATCAAAGGGCCAGAAAGGCAGCAGTTCACATCCACCAAGTACGAGCAGTGCGACTACAAACGAAGACACCATCAAGGAACTACCAGGAGATGGAATGGTGAGGATGTTTTTGTTATGCTATGGTTAGGTGTGCCTCTACTGACCCCCCCTTTCCCATAGAGCTGGTACCTTAGATCTTGGCCCACTCAGTCCAAAGCGGCGGCCGTTACCGAGGTCGCCCGTGAGAGCATATCGGCAGCTAGTTCAGCAGCCTCTCAACGCTCGCGATCATCCTCGTCTTTACGAAGCACTGCCATATCCTCCCGGCCTCCTTCAATCCAGTTTACGAAAGGGGTTGGAATATCTGCTCGGTCACTTCCAGCGGAAGTTGCCACCACAAAAGTGAATATCGCATCCACAGAGGCCCCATCTATGCCAAAACCAAACATCTCGAATAATATCGCCAGGAACGTTCATAACGGCTTAAAACCGTCTGAAGGTACGGATAAGGTGGAAGGCGAGCCAAAGGAGGACGAAACACCACAAGAAACCCAGCCCATAGAGCCAAAAAAGGGATCACCAAATGCGCCATCAGAAACAACAGTTGATCTGCCACAAAAGGAAATACATAACGAACAACCTCGCTCGATAGGCTGGTTTGAGTGGCTCTCAATGGCAAAGAACACAAATGAACCTACTCCGCAGCCATCCGACCCTGCCATTGTGAAGGAGGACGGCTCGTCTACGCCAAAGGTTGGACTTGAAAATACATGCAGTACAATTAAAGAGGATATCAACAAACATGATACCTCTGGACTCAAAGAAGTCCGGGTTTCACAGTCAAGGTCGTGGCTTCAGCTATGGGGCGGATCTAATGCTAACACTCAAGCAAAACCACTTGAGCCGATATCGAATCCCCAAAGCGCGGAGAACACCACCACTACACCACAATCCAATCCTCAAGAAGAAAGTATTAGCCAATCACAACCAGAAGGCGCAAGTGATAAAAATCAACCTGCCGAAGATACTACGCACAAACGTGGAGAATCGGCATCAGGATGGCTGTTTTGGCCGAGACAGCAAGCAGATATAGGTTCCTCCGCTAAGAAAGGAGAAAATGCATCTGAGAATGTACCCCCTGATGAAAACACGAAGGAACAGATGAAGGGGGCTTCACTGGCTGCAGAGACACAAAATATCCCGTCTTCTAAGAACTCTCGTGTCAAACCATCTACAGCTATACCTCAAGCCGCAACTCCCCCAGAACCCTCTTCGCAAACCGTCCCCAAAGAGCCCCCACTTCAGCCAGCAAATGTCCCTGTAGCTCCATCAACAAAGAAAGGGGAGCGAACACCGCCAAATCAGGTTCTCCCATCCTTCCACACCAGCTTCCCCCTCGAGAGCAAACCTAGTTTCATCGAGCAGCTCAGCCGCCTGCTCTATAAGAAGGGCTCGGAACCAAGACATGTCTTACGGAGCCAAACCACTCCACAGATAAAAAAGGCTATCGCGATCGGTATACATGGGTACTTCCCTACACCTTTAATACGGACAGTTATTGGCCAGCCGACAGGAACCTCTGTTAAGTTTGCATCTATGGCCGCTAATGCAATTCAAGAATGGGCCGATGAAAATAACTCACCCTGTCACATAGAAAAGATTGCGCTCGAGGGCGAAGGGCGCATTTCTGAACGGGTCGACTTGCTTTGGAAGCTGCTTCTCAACTGGATTGAGCATATTCGGGAAGCTGACTTTGTCCTAGTCTCTTGCCACAGCCAAGGTGTCCCGGTTGCAACGATGCTGGTCTCGAAGCTAATAGCCTTTGGCTGTGTGAGCTGCGCTCGGATCGGCATATGCGCAATGGCAGGTATCAACCTAGGGCCATTCGCTGACTATAGATCCCGTTGGATCAGCGGGTCAGCTGGAGAGTTGTTTGATTTTACAGACGCTGAAAGCAAAGTCTCGAAGGATTACCGGGCCGCTTTGAAGGCTGCTCTGGATTTTGGCGTAAAGGTTACTTATGTTGGAAGTATAGACGATCAACTCGTATCTTTGGAGGTGAGTATTCATCCACCAGATGACTGTGCAAGTATGCTTTGGTCTCGACATGCGCTTACCGCTAGTTCCTAGTCTTCTACATTTACAACCGTTTCGCATCCTCATATCTATCGTGCTGTGTTTGTCGATGGACGGGTGCATGCTCCCAGCTTGTAAGTCAAATATCATGATGAAACCTCCTCCCATGACATGTTAAACCAAAGTATCATACTTACGCGTATCTTTCTAGCCTTTCGCATCTGGTTGGCTTCACTATGAAGTTGCGGAACCTAGGAGTCTCTGACCACGGCCTGATTCGAGAACTCAGTTCGCCTCTCGCTGGGAGTTTATACACGGGAGAAGGTCACTCCCGTCTATATGAAGACAAGGACGTCTATAAGTACTTCACCCCCCCCCCCCCCTCTTTTTTTGCCTCCACAGAACCCAAAAACCATGTATGTGCAATTTACTCATGGGCTGCCCGCTTCTAGACTAGCAATAAGGTTTACCTTAGAAACGACTGTGATCAGCAACGCAGACATCCAATTTCATAAGATGATTGCGCCCACGGCATCAACTTCAACTGCCAATCCATACATACTTCCGTTTGCGATGCGCGGAGTCCTGGAAGAAGAATATGTTCGACATGAATTGTCAGATGAAACCATGGAACTGTTAAAACAGTTCGAAGACTGGAAGCCATCCACAAAAACATTAAAAGACGTTAAATTCCGGTTAGAGGGGATAAGGTCTAAACTTTGATACCATTTTGTCTTTCCTCGCGATATATATTATTGACTATTGACTATAACCTAATGCGTTTAAGCGGCTTGTATTTATTCGGTTTATAGAAGGATAGCGATTATCTCACTCATATTAACGAGGAGTTCTAATCGCATGAACATTTCTAATAAAGAACATATATCTTCCTATCAAATTTGATATGCCACGCAAGCCAGTGTATAGATTGTCGCCCACTTTAAAAAGCGCCTGGAAATTTATAGTGGGCTTGGGTATGGGGAGACAGGTGTAAGGAGAAAAATGGCCAGAGTATTCAGGCAACATTGATTCTGTATCGTTAGGCCGGAACACATCTGACAGATAGATTCATTACAGGTAGGAAGATGTATGAAGCTAGCAATATATCATAATGAAGAGAGTTCCTAAAAGTGCAGTACAAGAGAGCCGAGCATTTAAGTATGGCTAATCTTGCGGGAATGCCGTGAGAAATGCCCCCTCAATTTCATCTATGTAGTCCCGTTAGTTTCCTAGCACACCTAACTTGACGTGGGATGGCCATGCTTACCTCTCATCCCACCTAGTGCTTCAAAAGCCATAGAATAATTCCGTACAGCACCAATAACGCACTCTAGGCCATGTTGTAGCTCGTCACCAAGCTGGTCTGTGTCGCTTAATGGGCTTTCGACCATCCCCGGATTAATTGCACGAGACTTATAGTAAAGCATAAGCATAGCGTAACTGCTCTGCATCGCGCAACAGGCAAACGAAGGCATTGTCCGGGGAACAACAGGCGTGAATCCCAGGGACGAGTACTCCTTGTCATATGTTGGCTTGGGGTACGGTAGACTGTCGAACATCTGAGCAATGGATAGTGCAGCCCCCAGACATATGCTCGTCGATGTATAATTCGAGAAAGGAAACGAATCCTCGGGTATCCATCGAGATCCGGAAGTATCGGATATTGGGGAGCTGGAAGAGATGGGGCTTTCTAATTGGGTATTCGCAGGAGGCGCAGCTGGGAGTTGGCTGAAGTTACTGGAACAGCAGGCTATAGGCTGTATAGTATCCTGATATTCCAGTACGCTTGGAGAGCTCTCTGTGGTCGGGCTGCCTATGCTCGCACAAGTCAAGTCACAGTGCTTTTTGATGAATATTGGTATGTCGAGAAAGGCGCGGAATCGATGCGTCTTTATTCGCGCACTATTGGCAAATATTGTAAGAAAGGTATAAAGTCATTATAGAGTGTGATGAAAAAGGACGTTCTCACCTGCACAGCTTTATTCGTGAAATATATCGAATACTTTGAGCTGTGATACTCTCTATATCTTGAGGGGAAGCAACTGAGGATTCCTGGAGTGGTGCATCTATTTGTGCTAGTACAGATGAAGTCCAAGCCGTAAGCTTTCCCATCCGTTCAAAGATGACAGCGAGGTTCGCTTTCGCCCTCAATGCTTGATTAAAGTCGATGATATACTGGGTGGCGGCGACCAGCGCCTGCTGTGCTTGAATTAAAATAGACCATGCCTAGGGAGAGAATAGAGGTTAACGAAATTGGTCAGCATAAAAATGGAAATCAGAATAGTGGAATTAGATAGTGGATAGACGTACTCTAGAATCGGATGTAAATCGCGGATATGGAGTTGTAAATCGGGGGTCATGTGTCAATATCGTTATCGGCTATGTATATACATTAGCCCCTTCTATTGTTTAATTGATGAAAGGGGTAACTATACTTACCACAGTACCCACAATGGATCCTTGACAAACGCAGTAGAACTATGAAGCCAGTTAGAAAGTTGTATTATTTTAGGGAATCTTATGCATGGAATGGAATCTTCTCGTACAGTCATCCACCATGCTCTTCTTCTGGCTTCGGCGAATGGGCTGTCGTCGTGCGTGATGGCATGTAACGAAAGGTTCATTGCCATGATGTACGCCTGGCCCGCTCTATGCCGCATTTTGATCAGGTTCCCCCTTTGAGTATATTCGTATATACTTAAAATCAAAAGGGCAAGGATGCCTTCGAGGTCGGTTGGGGTGAGTGGGTGGACCATCAGCCTGGTAGGTACGGTTGAATTATGGGTCAGAGCATCGGATGGACTGGTGACAGATTCTTGAAGGTCTGATTCTGCTTCGATACTTGTAACAGCTTCTCGGGCAAAAGCATGAGCATAGGCTCTTCGAAGGAGTACTGATTCGGGTGCAAATGAGTTCGGATCCCGGGGGTGAGGGATCAACGCTAGTATGGCCGAGATAGCCAGAGTGACAGGAGATTTGGGCTTGTATGGAAGGACAGGGTCTGAGGTAGGGGTAGCTGGAGCTTTGACTGGTGTGTTCAATGGCCGGTCAACAGCTATTGGTGCGTGTGGTGGGGGGAAGATGGGAAAGTAGTAGTGGATATAAATATAGTAAGCATTTAGTCTGTGTTATCATTGTTAGTGTTGCGTAACGGCACAGATAACTAATGGTTATAGTCAAGGTAAAAAAGGTATAAAAATATACCAGGATAACTACTCACATGTCTTGTTCATTCCCATATAGCCTTACCCTTGGCGGCTCAGCGGGAGGCACAGCTGGTGGGTGAGCGGGCGTCGAATGAACCGGAACTTGCTGCTGAGCATTTGGAGGCACAAAGAGGCCTTCAAACATCGATTGAACATCGACGGGGAAATCGAGATGCCTTAACCCGGCACCCGGGACGGCGAGGTCGTCTACCTGGGTGAATATATCTACTAGCCAGGGTCAGCCAGAAGAGAATACTGACAGAATGATATTGATCATAACGATGGTATAAAAACGCTTGCATGTAGGACAAACCTTCGTCTATTCGGGGAACTGGATGCACAGCAGACCAGACTCTGCTTTGCATCGTATCGCCCAGGGACGAAGGAGGATCAGCCCTCTTCTTCCGAGGGCCTCCTCGCTTGCTCGGCAGATAGGAGCATTCTTTTCCCTTGAGGGCGCACTAGAGATGACAACATTGAACGTAATTGGTATGATGCCTTTCATAAAAGAAAAAAAAGTAAGATGGAGGACTTTGTCTTTCTCTCTCTTGTTCCTCTTTCCCTCTGCGCATACGCTGATGGTATGATACTGCAGAGGAGGGAGTAGATTAAGAGTAAAAGAGGTCAATCCGGAGCTGATTGATGCTATGTTTTTGCACGTACGCAGGAGCATGGATCCTTTCCATCGCATCTGATTCTTGATGCCCGACTAGAAGAGTCTCCCTGGTTAGATATAGCCCGTCTTGATATATTCAAACAGCAGATATATAAAGATTGAAAAATAAAATAAAAATAAAATAAAACATAAAACATAAAAATAAAGCAGAGCTATAGTTAGACAGGAGCAAAGGAGCAAACAACGGGGAAAGGGACGGTCAAGGTGGATAACAGCGGATAGATATATATATATAATCCAGGCATATAAACTAGGTGAACGGGAGGAACGAGAGAAGAAAAAATAAAATAAAAATAACCATAATAATAATAATAATAACCGGAAGAAGAAACTAACATGAAGGAGAGGAAGAAAAAAACATACAAACATACCATGAGAGACAGGCGACCTTGACCGGTGGCTTTGCGAACTTCTTCCGAGCTACTTTGGTAATAGACGGGTTATCAATGGCGGACGGGCGCCTATCATCTTCCATGGCGCCGGCTGACAGCATCTGTCCGGGCGGGAGTGATGTACGGAGTATATGGCTGTCGTAGAGGCAGATGGCAGAGGCCGAACAGCGGGAGAGAGGAAGAAAGAAGACGAAAGGAGGGCCCTTCTTCCAAAACCAACCCCCCCCCTTGCCTGGGCCTTCGAGATAAAAAGAGGCGCTAAAAGTTTGTCCGGATAGATGCTCAAGGGAACAAGGGGAAAGAGAGAAGAACTAAAGGATGGTGACGGGGAGAAAGGGAAGGGAAAAATGTGATGTATGGAACGAGGCTGGAGGCTAAGTTGGATGGCCTGGCCGGTCAGGTTAGCTGGTTGGCAGACGAGCTGTGACTAGCCAGCAAGCAGCAGCAGAGAGAGCAAGCAAGATATCCACCATGGAGCAGGCGCAAAGTCAAGGCAGTTTGGCTAAGTACGGAGTTGCAGCGTCGTTGAGAGGCCAGGGGAGAGAGTCCGGCTCCCTCTCTGTCTGTCTGTCTCTGTCTGTCTGTCTGTGGCCGTCTCTCTGGTTGTCTGATTGTCTCTCGGGGGAAGTTAGATGAGCGGCAGTGACTTGCAAGACAAGGAAGAGAGCAGCAGGACGAGCAGCCAGCAAGGCGACGTCCTCGTTGGCTGACTTAAGGGATTGGCCGGTCGAACGGGTCGGAACTGGTGAGACGACGAGACGGAAGACAAGGAGAGACTTGAGACTGGCACTGGGCGCGGGGAGATGTCTAAGATGCTTCTTCTACTCCGTCCCGTCATAATAATATATATATATGTATGTATAATCCGTATATATACATCAACAACAGAGAGCCGGAGTCCCGTTGCTGCTGCTCGTATGGCTGGCCGATGGTTTGCGGTCGACCGTTCGATGCATAAGAACTAACTGACTACCCAGACAGCTGTGCTGGTCTTCCCGTACGAGAGAAACGAGCTGATCCGGAGAACGGCGAGCGGCTTCAGGGGGGGGGGGGGCTCCCTCCTGTCGTCTGCACCGTTTATATATAACAGAAGTAGCTAAATGGATGTAACTAATGGATGTCCTATCAGATATCCCTCCCGCTCCTTGCAAATAAAACAGGCAAAAAAGTAACAAGAAGCTTGTGGAAGAACAGTTATGCGAGACAGAGATAGAGATAGACAGAACTGACGGACAGGCGGACGGACAGGACCCTTGACTAGCTTGACTGGCTGGCCTGCTTTCTTTTCTTTTCTCTCTCTTCTACTTATAAGAGAACAGCCTTCTTGTTCCTTTTTCCGCCTTGGGTTGTTGGTTTGATATGTCCTTGTTATGCATGCTTTCTTTCTCCTGTGCTACCAGGAGATGTACATGCAACTGCTAACTACATATATATAAGCTACGACTGCCGGCTGCTCGATCTCTCGAGAGATCGTGCACACAGGAGGAAGAAGAAAACATATCCGACTAGTTAGCCCATACATCGATACGAAAAATGATGAGAAGAGAGAGAAAAGAAAATCTGGGATGAAGCTGCAGCTGAGCGAAAGAGAGCCCAAATAAGCTTCACGAACCTGCGACATATTACAAAACTGCAAGGATGGGGATGTCTTCGCTAACATTAATTTTCTTTTCGTTCTCTTGGTTATATTAATATTAGTTATGGGGCAAGATGCTGGATGGGCCATGCCATGCCTGGGGACGGGGATGGAGCCTGGGACCGTGACTGGGGGGGGGGGCAGCAAGTGATGATGATGATGATGGAGCAAGCCACTGGGATCTCCCGTAGGTAGCCTGGATGGCGGAGAAGAAGCTGTTTTCCGACAGTTCTTCTCGTTCGATGGGCGCCAGCTTGGGTGCATGGATGAAAAATAAGACAAAGTCTTCTGATGGGAGAGTTACCAGGAGAGGCCCAATAATAGAATAGCATCTGTTTTGCTGCCACCCCCACAAGGCAAACGCAGCGACGTTGACGTTTTTGATGTGCCTTCCGGGTATTTTAAGTGGTGTGTGGCTGGTTAGTGATCGTGAGTTCCGGCCTTGGAGGGAGTGAAGTAGTTACTCCGACGAGAAAGTTCGATCGATTCTCTGCTTGCTGTCCAGGCTTTCTTTTCTTTGGTGATTATTCTCTGCAAAGAGCACCCCAAGGCTTCATCTAATCGCTGTTCATGCTATTTCTCAGTGGAAGAATGTGAAAATACGGAGGTAGTGTCTCTGGTCAGTGGCCTCTAGCTGGCCCTGAAGATACCACTCTCACGCTGTCCCAGACGCTCTGTGATACCTTGACGGGCAGCTTATGCCCTTTCAGACACTGGTCGATCAACCACATCCCTACGACAAATTCCTCCCGAGACAGCAGCCCATATGCATGGTGGCTGACGATATTCCAGATCTGTTCCAGCATCTGCGTCGGTAGCCTACTCCGAGTCCAGATGTCCCGGACCACCATGCTCGATACAGTCTCCTCCAGGATAACAGATCTATCCTTGATATTGACCTGTTCATGCACGCCTACAAACAGGCCTTTGTTCGCTGCCCACACCCCTTCGTAGCGCTTCCTCTCCGCTGCAGTCACCCTATCACGCCAACGCTTGCGATCGCCTTCCCGATGCTTATGCGGGTGCGTTCGGATGATTTTCCGGCCATGTTCCTTGCTTCGATGTATCTCGCCGGCTGCAAAGTCTGGCTCAGGTAGGGCGGGGGCTCGCATTGTCCGTTTCATGGTCGTCGTCTTGTTGGGGCTGGGTGTCCTGGTGCTTTTGCCATTATTGTCTCCCCTGCCTGGCAGGTCGCTGCGGTTGCCACTGTGGCTAACTTGCAGAAACGAGCGAGATCTTGATCGTCGACTAGGCGGTAGCGGAGGGGGGTTGCTACTATTGCTGCTATGGTCCTTGGACGGTGACGGAGTGCGACGTGATGCCAGCGTTGAAGCTGCGATTGCATCGGCCAACGCACTCTCGGAAACCCCAGAGTGCTGGGATCGTAGTGGGCTTGCGCGAGCATGGGGGAGAGTATTTGGTCGCGGATTCTGGTATGGCAAGGAAGGGAGCGGTTTACGTGGAGTCAGAGGCCTATCAATGGTTGAAGATGCAGTCGTTGTCGATTGCCGTGGTGCTGGAGGCGGCGGTTTCTCCTTGCCCTGAGGAGCTGTAGAGGATCTTGGGGGTAGAGCTGGAGGTGGAGTGACGGTTCTATCACGCCGTGGTAGAGGAGGTGGTGGTGGATGAGACCCTTGGTCAGGTTCTGAATCCATCTTTCTTGATAATGAATGATCTCTCGTCATTACTGACCTGTTCGGGAGCGGAGGAGGGGTATTGACTCCATATTTCTGCTGCGTTGGCATGTTTTGTGCAGCTGAGAGCTGTCCTGCATCGGTCACATCCGAATCTGGAGGTACATTGCCTTTATCCCTCCTCGAGCTCATAACGATAGTACATATATCGACTTCTTCACAGGTAGCTGGCGAATTTGGGACACGCTGGGCCTCATGTGTAATAAACTCTTGATATTCCCTGGCTCGCAGCGAGCTTATCGTAGCAGCAGAGGCGGCCCGGGACGGGGACCCTGATCTTGCTTTGGAGCCCGCAGCAGATCTATCCACAGCAAGTTTAGCTGCAACGCGCTGCGTGTTGTACTCTGGCCCTATTTTTGGCTGCGTCACTATGGTAGCATTTATACTGGCTTTTCTATAGGCCGTTTGGTCGTTGTTCTGGGCCGAGGTTACAGTCTCCATAGACTCGGCAAGTTGTGGAACTCGAGTTTCTCCTGTGGTAGAACCTCCTCCTCCTCCTCCTCCGCCGCCACCACTACTAGTTGGATGAGCAAAGAGCTGAATCCTGTCTTTCACAGCTGTCCCGGTGCCTGTTGAAACCAGATGTTCATCATCACCCTCGTCAGCACCAGCACCGGCCCGGTTGTGGGTTGCAGCGGCGTCCGCAATCAGAGCTGCTCTTCGAGCTCCATCATGGATAGCTCGCCCCGCTGGCTGCCTGGGCTCTGGTATCCTTCTCTCTGGGCTCCCGCTGTTGCGTGGCTGTTTTTGGCGTGTTTGTGATGCGAACGCCAGAGTTGCTCCTTGAAGGGCAGCGGAAGTGTTCGTTGTCTTTTTCCTGTAGTCCCCATTATCGGAATTTGAATTTGAACCATGCCCGGCCGCAGGACTTGAAGCCATTGGAATTCGGTGCCTCTGGCTAATCGAATGAACAGAAAGAGAAGGAAGTCGGAATTTGAGACCAAATTTGGCGAAGAAACACTAGTATGGAAGCAAAACGAGAGAAAAAGCAAAGATGAGCTGTCAGGTTGGGTTTACTCTGTCTGTTCTCAAAATATGATATGACAGCTCTATTCGCGGAGGCGATCAGACGGCGCTTGCTGCCTCACACGTCCTTTGCAAATAATAATGGTCACCAAGCATTCTTGTAACTAGCTTGTCGAAGTAGTTAGTTAAGTGGGGAGGAATCAATCTCTTGGCTAACCTGCCATCCATGGTCCCGCAGTCAGAACCCAAACATCGCCGAACATAACTTCAAGTATGAACATTTTGGTTGATACGTTGGAGTTATCTCGGATGAGAGTTAGCTATCCCTAAAACGGACACTCATTATGGCGCAGATACGTATGCTGTCAAGTCTCTTCAAGCCCATTGGTCAAGGGTGCAAAGTGCTTCCATTCTTGTCAGCTAAACGGCCGATAATATCAAATCGTGATATGTGCCTAGCTCAGTAGTTAATGAGTGGAAAGCCAACGGAAAAAGTAAGCTCGTCACTTGAATGGGGAAAGAAACAGTAGGAAAGAGAGTATTACTGTACGGAACATACCTAAGTCACTGAATTCCGGGCCGGCCCTTGTAGACTTTTATTGTATTCTCTCCCTTCATTTTTTCGGCGCAGCTTTAGTCTAATGCGTTGGATCAAGTCGTTTCGAAGTGTGTGTTGGCATGACAATCGTAATGGTGATTATAGCTGTCCGCCGTTTCTGCACAAAGACGACAGCCAACAGGCAAAAAGCGGTGATGGATTATCAAAGGACTCTTGGTATATCCATTATCGGATACGAAATCTCCCCATGCGATAGACTGTCCCTGTGACTGAAGCCTGATGTCGAGGGACCCTCCACCTGGCCAATCTGCCTTGCCAGTATGAACGAATACTCGAGGCCACCCCCCTGTATTAAGTTTCCGACTTGCAGCCGTTATTTCCCTGTCTTTCTTTCTTTGCCGACCTCTTTTCTCGGAAACACGCATGATAGTGGAAGAAGAGCTTCTCCTCTCGTCTGCTGTTGGGCAACTAGCAAACAAGTTTACAGTCAAGTTAGTTACCCCAGACATGAAACGCTAGTTGACTAGCAAGCGGCCCGCGTCGAGAGTTCAAAACTTATCACCAGGGGAAAAGAAAAAGAAAGCACGTCTCCACATAACTTTGCAAGGAAGCTCATATCTGGAAGTTATTCCAGTGATATGTCATTGGAAAAGGATGGAGTGAGATGGCACTTCGTATCATTAATCTGCTCAGGACAAGTCAGCAATTCAGTAGACTACAGAGTAGCTAACTAGTTAATGCCGCGTAGCTTTTTGTTATTTTAATGCCACCCACGGAGTAGCAAATGGTATTTCAGCCTGTTAACCTAACTAGTTGGTTTAATGAGCTTGGAGCGTTGGGTTGCTCTAAACTGGGGGAATGTGACAGATACACTGCAGCCAGAAATTGACAGCCCTGCTTGAGATACGAACTGTCGACGAAGGCCTCGTATCTGAGGGTAGCTCTTATAATTAGTCAATGAAGAGGAAGTTGTTTGAGTGGTTGATGGCGCAAAAGTTGATGTCGTTGTTAGACAGCTGATGTTGAAGTTAACAATTTCCTAAAAGAGCAAATGTAACTACAGACCAGAGCTCTCACTTCCGATTCTACGGCCACAATTTCAAGAACGATTAACAGCGGTATACTGTCTATGAGGTGTTTGTTGTCCAATGGTCATGTTATTACATTCTAATTCGAAATATACAGAGGACTGTTAACATTGGAAGTAAAGGAACGAATGACACCTTTATATTTTCTCCCTCTAGTTGTTCAATTTTCTTGACGCTAACCCCTCCCCTCCGCTGTCTCTTTCATCTCATCAGCCTAGTCTGTACCCCAGGAGCATTTCCCCGTTTTTGAACCGGCAGCTTGTGCGCGGAGTATCTCTCGCACTGTAGGGAAGGACCGTGTTTTGAATTTGCTTCATTATCCAGGAACTTGAGATTAAATATTGTGCATATTAACGGTGAAGTCTCCTATGAATGTCAGCATGGCACTTCGACAGTGCTAGAAGAGCAACCCAGGTCTTCCCAGAGTTTCCGTAGGCCTTCCCCCGCCACGCCCCATGGCTGCATCATTGTAAGGGAGAAATAGGAGTAGCCACTGAGTGTAAGAATTGACCATTTTTCACGGATCTCCCTGTGATGCAATTGCAACTCACGTTCCCCAGGTATGCTTAAGTGAAATATAGGAATAGGGACAAGGCAAAGTATGATGTGGAGGCTGTGTGGTGGTGAAAATATTATCTAGGACAAGGGCTGCCAGTTGCTCGATCCGATAACCCTCATATGTTCCTTATAGACGCTGCGTTACTCGAATGATAGAGCTCGTTGTGGCCAGAATCATCTGGAGGCTGCACACCGACTTGGTTTTTTTCTGTGAAATCTTGTGAAGTTTTACTTCAACGACTGGTGAAGTTTGGTAACTGGGTATCATGCTTCTCCTAGGTGGTTTTTTCTAATAGCGTGAGCCCGAGAGCAATGCTCTATACCAGATATCCTCCTATGACATTTAGCCATACCATCGGAGGTGGACTCATGGACATGGCAGGATCTTTCTCTAGAAGCTCTACGTTCTTCCAAAGAAAAGAGGTATATATGTTTGCGAGGGCCAAGGGAATGTGGACATCGGGCCTCATAGAAGTCCAAACAGGGCAAACCAAAGACTACAGTAGAAGCCGTCGTCAAGTTGATCGGGCATGATGGAACGACAATAGGAAAGCCTCTGCATGGAGCTTGAGTGTATCTCAAAGAGGGAAACCCAAGAATAATGTATTATCAGTCGAGTCCTTGGGGTGAGAACCTGTGGTTTTTGGCCAGTTCGTGGCAAGGCGGAGACAGGGGACAGCACTTTGTGGCCGCCAGTTGAGATCCATGGGGTACACACCACGAGCTACCTAGACGTCATTATCAGGGGGAACAGAAACCCCGGTTCGTCATGGAGTGCAACCTCGACTAGGAAGTTTTATTACCATCATCGGGTACGTCTCACTCTGGCGTCTTCTGCCACGGTTCCATCGGGAAAGCACAGTGCTGATATGCTCCATGCAGGGCGCCAATGGTTGAGTTGCTCAGGGTAGGTCAGAGCCAAAGGTATCATACAGTGGCCAGGAATGATGACTTGCTTCTCATACAGCCCTCTTTTGCCGTGTCTACCGTCTCTGTACCATTTAAAGACAAGGCGTTAACGCCGCAAAACAGATATCAACCAAATAGACACTTTGACCGCATACTGTCATAAGTATTCGTCTCGTTTGAATTCGCTTTCGATGTCGACGTGTGTTTGCCACCAGCCTGATGGCAAGTGGCCATCTACGACAGGGTAAATAGATGCCACTGATCCTTGAACATGTAGTTTAGCGGACACCAGACAGTCAGAGTAGATATATAACTAAATAAACAGCCATACTGCAAGTTCATCGCTGGCGAGCTAGTCAACTAGTCGGCGATCCCTGAGCCAAACGCCTCTTCTTCGTCTGTTCTCCTGAACAACTCGTTGGGGAAGAAAAAGAACAGCGGCCAACGCGAAGTCCTCGCCTTTCTCATCCCCCCTTTTTGCTCTGTTGTCTCTTTTTTGCCTTTTGACTTAGTTAAATAAGTGGGGGGTCGGCAAGGGCAGCGAGTTGGAGGATTACTATTTAACAAACACATGTTAGAGAGCCAGCGAAGAGCGAGGAGACGGGCAAATCTTGGGGTTTCAACACCAGCGAAAATAAAAACAAGAGCGACCAGAGCATCCCATAAGTAACACCCCGGAGAAGTCGTGCTTGCAAGATGTCCTGGAATATCACAAAGAGTACGGGAACAGTCCGCCCCCCCTGTCTTTTCTGACGATGCTAATCTGCTGTCCCTTTAGAGCTGAAAGAGACCCATCTGAGCGCCCTCTCCAACCTCTCCAGCTCCCTAGCTTCGAGTAAGGACAAAGATGCTCCTACAACGCCTACGGTGAGCAGTGCCAGCTCTACCAAGGAAGGCGGTCCGGCTCCAGATACGAATACGTCGAAACCAGGTATTCTCGTCGTCACTCTCTACGAAGGTCGTGGGTTTTCCCTGCCAGAACAGTATCGAGAGGCCTTCGCTTCACACCACCGTACCAACAGCAGCACCGGAGGCGTGGCTGGTTCTACACAACAGAGCTCACTTGCAGTAGGTCGTGGGAATGGCTCTACCAGGCCACAGACGTCTGGAGGTGGCTTTACGGGCATCCCAACGAATCACGGAAGGATATCCCGAAAATACATGCCATACGCACTGCTAGACTTTGATAAGCTCCAGGTCTTCATCAACTCCATAGACGGCAGTCCTGAGAATCCCGTTTGGGCTGGTTCCAGCACTCAGTACAAGTTTGACGTCTCACGTGTTGCTCAGCTCACTGTGCACATGTACCTTCGAAACCCCAATGCTGCACCGGGATCTGGCCGGAGCCAGGATATTTTCCTAGGTGTTGCTCAGATTAGCCCGCAATTCGACGGGCCTTACCGCGAGGTTGAATGGATTGATTTGCAGTACGGTACCGGCAAGCTTCAGATCGGCTGGGAATACGTTGAAACCCAAACGAATAAGCTGAACGTTGACGATTTTGAATTGCTCAAGGTCGTAGGGAAGGGTAGTTTTGGTAAAGTCATGCAGGTTCGAAAGAAAGATACCCATCGTATTTACGCCATGAAGATTATCCGAAAAGCAAAGATCATATCCCGCCAGGAAGTGACACATACTCTTGCTGAGCGTTCAGTCCTTGCCCAGATAAACAACCCATTCATTGTGCCCCTTAAATTTACATTTCAATCCCCTGAGAAGCTCTATTTTATTTTGGCCTTTGTCAACGGAGGAGAATTATTCTACCATCTAACCAAGGAGCAGCGTTTTGACATCAACCGTTCCCGCTTCTATACTGCCGAACTACTATGTGCTCTCGAATGTCTTCACGGCTTCAACGTTATCTACCGCGACTTGAAGCCTGAGAACATCCTTCTGGACTACCAAGGCCATATTGCTCTTTGTGACTTCGGGCTCTGCAAGCTTGAGATGAAAGACGAAGATGAGACACACACCTTCTGCGGAACACCAGAATATTTGGCTCCGGAGCTTCTCACCGGCCACGGATACAACAAGACTGTTGACTGGTGGACCCTAGGCGTCTTATTGTATGAAATGCTTACTGGTCTTCCACCATTCTACGCTGAAGATACGAACGAGATGTACCGCAAGATTCTATCCGATCCTCTCACCTTCCCAAGCCATGATATTGTTCCTGCCACTGCAAAAGATCTCCTAACTAAACTTCTTAACCGAGAACCTTCTGAGCGACTAGGTGCCAATGGGTCGGCTGAAATTAAAGCTCACCCGTTCTTCCACGCAATCGACTGGAGGAAGTTGCTACAACGAAAGTATGAACCGGCGTTTAAACCCAATGTAGTAAGTTCCACCCTTAACCCCTGCTTTGCCCTGTATCATAATATCTTACTATTTCTCAAAGGCCGACGCTCTTGATACCGCCAACTTCGATGTTCAATTCACATCCGAACCAGCCCAGGACTCCTTCGTGGATGATCCCGTTCTCTCCCAAACGATGCAAAACCAGTTCGCTGGGTTCAGTTATAACCGGCCTGTTGCCGGCTTGAATGATGCGGGTGGCAGTATAAAAGACCCTTCGTTTATAGACAATGTGCAAGACTAAAGTTCATTTGCACTGTTTAAATGGTGTTTCATTTGTACCTTGGACATGGCACTGGTTGGTCATATCTTAACATTTCGTATTTTAGATGCAGTAGCACATTCAGCATGTCAATATTTTTTGGCACTAGTGACCAACTATATCCCCGTTGTTTTTTTTATGGCTTTTGCTGAAAACGACTACTCATTTGTACCTGAAATTGTCCTTTTAACTCGTCCTATGAATGTTGTTGAATTCAGGTGTTTGCCTCAGCGTTTTTGACCCCGAAAAGGACCGTTGATAATGTGTTATTTTTAGCCATGACGTCAGATCACGTGCAAAGGCGTGCCGTTCGTGTCTGCCTAGAATCTGGAGACTCCAACATCTCGTGTGAAGAAGAAAGAAAGCCCAAAACATCCCTTTCTGGGCTCGATCAGCCTGACGAGTGGTCGTATTGACTCTATCCTCTCTCTTTTTGCGCGTATATTTAGTCACTTTGATACCCTGACACACCATGGAGCCGAACCCAGGTGGTGCCATTAGGGAGACGGAGAGGGAGCTTGACGAGAAGTATGATACCCGTCAAGCCATAACATCGAAGAGCTAATGATTCTATAATGATACTAATTTTACTCTTGAATAAGATATCCAAATAGACCACGTAACCACGGACAAACCCTTCCCTTTCATGACTTGTTCATATCACTCTTTAACCCTCTCAACGATCTCAAAAAGAAGCCTGCAGGACCTCCCGCGGCTCGAAGGAAGGCAGGACCTACTGGGCGTAACAATCTCTCACCACACGAGTTGCGTCGTAATGTGATTGAACGCTTCATCTCGCGATGGCGACAACAAGTCGGTAATGACTTTTTCCCAGCATTCCGGCTTATTGTCCCAGAGAAAGATCGTGATCGTGCCATGTATGGATTAAAAGAAAAGGCCATTGGCAAATTGCTAGTCAAAGTCATGAAGATTGACAAAAATTCTGAAGATGGTTACAATCTTCTAAACTGGAAACTTCCAGGCCAAAGGGCTGCAACCGCAATGACAGGTGATTTTGCCGGTCGCTGCTTTGAAGTCATCTCCAAGAGGCCCTTGAGAACGGAGGTGGGTGATATGTCTATAGCTGATGTTAACTCCCGGCTTGATGATTTAGCTGTCGCTTCTAAGGAGGACGCGCAGCTACCCATCCTAGCTGAATTTTATCGGCGGATGAACCCGGAAGAGATGATGTGGTTGATCAGAATTATTTTACGGCAAATGAAAGTTGGTGCTACCGAGCGTACATTCTTCGAAATATGGCATCCAGATGCGGAAAGTCTTTTCAATATTTCTAGTAGTCTTCGCCGAGTATGCTGGGAGTTATACCTACCAAGTATTCGCCTTGAGGCGGATGAAGCTCGTGTCACTCTAATGCAATGCTTCCAGCCGCAGCTCGCTCAATTTCAAATGCACTCCTTTCAAAAGATAATTGAAAGGATGAGGTTGGCTGAAGATGATCCTGAATTTTGGATTGAAGAGAAGCTCGACGGCGAGCGCATGCAGCTTCATATGGAGACGAACAGCTCTATACCCGGCGGAAAGAGGTTTGAATTTTGGTCAAGAAAAGCTAAAGAATACACGTATCTATATGGAAATGGTTTCTATGATGATAATGGATCTCTAACGAGACATTTGAAAAATGCTTTTGCTGATGGAGTTGAAAGTATTATCCTTGATGGAGAGATGATTACCTGGGATCCAGAACAAGACGCCCCCGTACCATTTGGTACGCTTAAGACGGCGGCCTTAGCAGAGCAACGAAATCCGTTTTCTGCAAGTGGCCATCGGCCCCTATTCAGGATATTTGATATCGTTTACCTCAATGGTAAACCCCTAACGAGATACACACTTCGGGACAGGCGTCGAGCGCTAGAAGCGAGTGTGATTCCGGTTCACCGGCGTTTTGAAATTCACCCCTATCAAGTTGGCAAAAGTGCGAGTGATATTGAACCTCTACTTCGGAAAGTAGTAGCAGAGGCGTCCGAGGGACTTGTCTTGAAGAACCCGAACTCACCATATCGCCTCAACGAACGCAATGATGACTGGATGAAAGTGAAGCCAGACTACATGACTGAATTTGGAGAATCGCTGGATTGTATTGTAGTGGGTGGCTATTATGGCTCTGGTAAAAGAGGCGGAAATATCTCAAGTTACCTCTGCGGCCTGAGGGTTGACGATACGCATGCCGAGGACGGGACTAATCCGATGAAGTGCTATTCCTTCTGTAAAGTTGGAGGAGGATTTACAGCAGCAGATTATGCAAACATTCGTCACCATACCGATGGCAAATGGCATGACTGGGATCCAAAAAAGCCACCTACTGAATATATAGAACTTGCAGGTGGTGATGCACAACATGAACGACCTGATGTCTGGATCAAACCTGATGATTCAATTGTTGTATGTGTCAAGGCTGCAGCTGTTACACCTAGTGATCAATTTCGACTGGGCCTAACAGTTCGATTCCCTCGGTTTAAACGGCTAAGGATGGACAAGGACTGGCAGAGTGCGTTGTCCGTCCAGGAATTTATGGACCTAAAGGCCGGGGCTGAGCAGGAGAAGAAAGAAAAGGACTTTCAAGTGGACAACTCCCGCAGGAAGAAGACCAAACGGAGTAAGAAGAAAGAACTCACTGTTGCCGGCTCCGGTGAGCCAAATGTTGCCTATGTTGGGAGCAAAACTCATATTTTTGATGGGCTTTCGTTCTGTGGGTTAAAAATACAGGCTCTTGAGGTGAATTATGCTAATATTTTTATAGTTGTCATGACCGAGTCCGTGAAGCCAATGAAGAAATCCAAAGCTGACCTGGAACAGCTGATCAAGGCAAACGGAGGAAAGATATACCAAACAAATAACGCAGCAAAGGACACCTATTGTATCGCAGACAGAAGTATGTGAATGATCCTTTGTCACTCAATTTTCTGTCAATGCTGATATGGTCCAGGAACCGTAAAGGTGGCATCATTGCAAAAATCTGGCCTTGAGAATGTCATTCGACCTTGCTGGATTTCTGACTGCATCAGCCAAAACGAACACGATATCGGAGAAAGCAGCATACTGCTTCCCCTAGAGCCACGGTAAGTTGCTTTACATCAATATGTTTTATAGAGGTCAGCGTTGCTAACATTATCCCAGACATATGTTCTTCACTAAAGAAGATCAAAAGGAGGAAATTAGCAATAATGTCGACAAATATGACGACAGCTTTGCCAGAGACACCAGTATAGCGGAACTTACAGAGGTAACTTTCTTCATTAGAGTGTCTTTAGCTCCCAGCGATACTAAGTTTCCTTTAGATACTACACAAGATGGATGCGATATCAGATATATCTGGAGAAGAACGACTAGACATTATGTCTGATCTTACTCTAGATGGAGATCAAGGCTCCGTCCATAGCGATGTAGAGGGGTGGCTTTTTAAAAACCTGACAATATTCTTTGCCCCCTGCAGCCATCTGTCCAGTGTCCCCGGAGAGCCCTATGTCGATGCGTTGTCGATACGTCAGCAATTGGCTCGAAACATCACCATTTTTACGGGAGCCACTGTGACAGACCAGCAGAAGAACAATCGGATCACCCACGTTATTGTTGATCCCTCAGCAGATAGGGATCCGGAGACTGGCAAAGCCAAAAACTATACTACTCTGAGGTCAGAGTTTGCAACTCGCCGCGCCATTCCTCATTTCGTGACTGTTCAGTGGGTTGAAGAATGTTGGAAAGAAAAGACACTGGTTGATGAAGAGCGTATGTATTCCATGCCAGCCATTGCTCTGCCAGGACTCTGCTAATAAAGTCTACATAGGATTTTGTGCACCAAAATAAGCCAATGGATACGGCAGTTATGAGCTTCTTAACTTTACAGAACACTTCGAATCAACCTCTAAAATATGCAGATTATAACTATGAAAGGATTAATGAAGGAAAACATGAAATTGATGTGAAATTTGGGCGCTCTGCAGTTACTATTTTTCCCACGCACTACGTTTCACTGGGCTCGTAACTTTGCCCCTTGATTGCCCAAATCAACGCTTGTTGGGGACAGACAGAAAACTGCTCAGGCACTCAGTCACAAAGGTGTCTTTATCTATTACTGTTCCATAGAGTCAGTATCATTAGCATCACATTCGTATCAAAAGCCAGCCCAGGATGGCCAACGTGCAGCGCTAGGAATCTGATATCAACGTTTCTCCCGTAACTGAGAGTCCCTGCAACCATTCTGCATACTCCTGATCTTCCGTTGCTGCGCACAATTGCTATAATGAACCCGATGATTGGCTACCGTTTTATCGCAGAGCCATATCCCTGACCGTCGTATCCTCGGACAACCTGGCGGCTGAGGGGGGAGACAGTTAGCTCACCACGAAAGCCTCGCAGACGGGCCAGTCCTCCTCTTCTAACCCGCCCAGCCCTCGGATATGTCTAAGGTTGTGATGTAGTTGCATATAACTGCCCGGCCGGTTCGTCGCTTTTGATATCGACTGGCACCATCTGAGAGAAGCGCGGAACCTGGCCCTGGCAGAGGTCCTAACACAGGGCTATTCCCAAGGAAGCTCAGGGACTCGTGCCTCAGATCCGATAAGAGCAAGCTCAACGAAAGCCCATCTTTGGCATTTCATTCGTGCGAAGCCGCAGTAGTCGAGGTGGCGTTGTTTCTCTTGCATCGACCCTAATCCGCCCGGCCGTCTTTGCTCCCCATATAAAGGTCCGCTGATATAGTATGCAACTAGTTAACCGCTCCTCTGCGTCTTCTCTCTCCCCTCTTCCTCGCCCGCTCTCTAGTGTGCCATTAATGACAGACTGGCAGGCTTTGCTTTTCGCTTGGCCTCGTCTCTGGTAGCCAATTGCTGGGGGACTCGGACTGAATGTGAGTTTCTGAGCCAGGGGTGCTGATTTGACATACATAAGAAGCCAGAACAAGACTCCCGTCTTGCGACCATAGTCTTCTGCTCGGCTCTTCAAACTGCTAGACGCTCTCCACCCGT